TCAATGCTAAACCAGGGACGAAGTAATGAGTTCTACCATCACTTTAGTCAAAGGTGCAGCTGTAAGATGCTACCAAATGTTAACCCAGTAGTGCCCTTTCTTTGTGCTTTCAAGGGGGACACAGGGTCCAACAAGAAAGCATCCCCATTCTGAACAACCAGCTCACCAAGGCCCCCAAAACTCCTAAAGCCAACCCTCGCCGCCACTTCCCTCTTGCCTCCTCCTCCAAGTACCCGCGTGCCAGACCCACACCACCCACGAAGAGCACGCCCTGCTCGCCCTGGGCCTTCCTGAGGGCGTCCGGAGAGGCTGGAGCTTTCGGTTGGACGGTTGGACTAGAATGCAAGTCTAACTCAAGGCGTATTGGTATCCAAAACTGCAACGTCTCGCTTGCTCTTGAAATGATATGTCACGCAGCAGGAAAAAGGTGGGATTCTTACTGGGCCGCCCTTCTGCCCCAAGCAAAAGGTCCAACTTTTTGCGCTGGACATGCCCTGTGTTTCCAAAAGATGGGTGCGATTTGGCTACACCAAGCCACAAAAACCGTGCCCTTGGACTTCATGCTTGCCTGCCAAGCTTCTCCTCAAGATTCTCGGGGTCCAGGATGTAGCACCTGTATGTTGGCAATGGTCCTCCAATGGTGATCGGCTCCCCGGGGGTGACCTCAGCCCACCGAAGCGGCAGCCACGAACGCTGGTGGCCCAGATCTGACTTGCACAAGATAGCGCTTTGCAGAAACCGCCGGGGGGGGGACCCACACTTTGTTTAGAGTCTGGAGGATAGACATCGATCTAACAGGGCCTTGGATATGTGTCAAGACAAGGCCATCATACGTTTGACACACACACACACAGCCGCAATCAAAACATGCGTTGCACAGCAGTCAGTCACTGACCGCTACAACCTTCCCGCATGTTTTGTCCATCCCAACCGGAGGCCTCGTTGGGGGCAACCACCCAGGTTGCTATCAGTTGTATCCATGTCGAAGCGCAAGGCTCTGCCTCCCCTACAACTTACACAAACGAAAACAAAGCACAAATTGCGTCCCCCGGAAATCCTTTCTTCTGCCTAACCCCTCTGCAGTTTCGGCCCTTCCACAAACTGTCCATTTCATATGCAGCGGCACCGAACCCAGAATGAGTTGGGCTTCCAGCCAACAAGCTAAAGGAGATGGGTGCAACAGCGCCTCCTGGGAATACAAATTTCAATGGGGGGGCTGTTTGATGGACATTCTTTACATGCATATGATATTTGTCTCCACCAACCATGTCTGAGGGTGGTCCAACCATGCAATATGCAGTGAAATTGTTTTGCTCTCAGTGTTTCCAGCACACCCTGTCACCCTGCCCCTCCAGTCCCCTGTGGAAACATGGGTTTGTGTCGTTTGCGGCTCGGTACCCTTTCTGGTGTGGTCTTACAGGGAAGCCAAAGAAACCGAAGCCTCGATTCGGCCTTTTGGCTTGCGACAGCTCGACCTGCAAACGCTCCGACTGGCAAGTGGCCTATTTGGGTCTCGGCCCTCATGTGACCCGTTTCGGTATCATGCTGTGCTGCCTTCGAAGGCGGTCCCCTGTACAAAGCCGTCACGCCAAACATCGGCCCAGGTAGTCTCCCCAACAGCCCCGGGCCTTGCTGCAACCCTCCGCAACTCTAGCCCGCAGAAAGCGTTCAGCTGTTGGGAACGAAAAAGCAGCAATAAATATCCAAGGGGCGTAGGCCCCCGTGCACACCACTGAAATCTCGGAGGGTCCGTAGCTGTTCACCAACCTGCGAGAAGCATGACGATTGGCGCCAAGCAGAGGCCCAGGTATCAGCTTCCCTCTTATTGGTGGTTTGGTGGTTGGGATTTTAGGGGGTACCTCCCCCTTTTGGCCTCTTCTAAACCAACAATTTAGTGGTATCTGAAGGTAGCGGGACAGCTCTTCGGATGAGCAAATGGCAAATAGCTATCCGACAAATCTTTCCGCAAGTTGGTTGTTGCAAAAAGTTTTAAAGAGCTAAGGCGCGCAAAAGACAAACATGGTAACTCGTACCTCTTCAAATTGGCTCGCTTCAACTTGTATATGCCCAAAAAGCAGTTCTGCCAGTGCTGCGACGGCATTCTTGCAAATTATGTGTTCTTTGGTTTGTCCGGAATCACCCAAGCTCGCCAAGTCAACTTCTGGATGGTGACTGCGTTCAGCCAAACTGGCGCAACAAAGGACGCCTATATGTAGATGATCAAATTCATTTCGCACCAGTTGCTAGATGGTTTGTCATCCATCCGGGCTGGTGCGAGATGGATTTTGTCCATCCACAGTACGGAAACAGAGGCCCCCAACAGTCTCCAATTGAAGCAATGTAAAATGGCTTTCACTGTAAAGTGAGTCCTGGGCACAATGCTATAATTCACAAACCGGACATAAGGAATCCCCCTTTGATAGAACCTAGGAACCTAAGACCCTAAATAGAGCGCTTGACAACCAAGATCTCAAATCTTTGAGCAGGACCCAACACCTACTGATTTCTGGTTCCACTAACATTGGCTATAAAGCTTTAGATAGTCCTAACCATAATCCTTATGAAACCAGGTACCCTCCCACCAACTAACTTGGAACCTGACAGGGGGTCCCTTAAAGAAACAAAAGGTCCTCAAACGGGACCCCCCCCCCTCAGGTTCCATGTTAGTTTGGTGGCTGGGTAACACGGCTGGGGCCTGCGCTCGGCTTCGCTTCCGGAACCCGCCTGCGCCCCGGCGCCCAGGCATCCACCACGTCCGCGCCTAAGGCCTGGCCAAGCGGAGACCAAAGTGCGTGTGAAACCACAAAGGGATAGATATATGGTGGCCTCAGAAAAGATGCACCCAGGGAGAATAGAGGGGGACCCAAACATGGGAGGGGTTTCAAAGGTTTCCGAGTGAGTTGCCTTTAAACCAGCCTGCAAGCAGGCAACCTCAAAATATTCCTCACTTCCTGACCTCAGTTCCTGAGTGGATTTGCCAACAAGAATCCGAGTTTTCGTTTACCACTGAAATCGCTTTGCCTGAAAGTACAGAGCCCAGAAGCTCGCAGAGTGAGGTTCTGGAATTACTGAAGTGGGATCCGCATTGAGTTTTGGAATGCTTCGAAATGTCTGACTGAGTTCTAACTTGTTGCCGGCCTCTGGTCTGGTAGGCCCCACACAGGTTAGAGTTGTTTTTTGGCATAGCCAGAAAATGGGGGGTCTGGCATTTGTGTTGTTCAGTTCAAAGGGCTACCTCTTGTGGATTCCTTCCAAAGAGCATGAAATGTTGTCGGGGACTGTATGGTTGTTAAGTCCCATTGCTCGTCATACAAGAAAAATGCGGCCTGAGCTTTGGGTGGTTTGATGGAAAGCTAGATCCCTGAAAAGGACGGGCTGGCTGCCACTAGCAGTACACTCACAATTGGAAAAGGGTGGGTATGCACTACGGTTGCCGTTACGACCATCCTTCGCGCCATTGGTGTGAAGACTTTCTTCGAGTGGCTCACTCCAGGCAAGAGTGTTTTTTGCAATGTCTTTGTGGTAGAGGCAAACACCGTGCCGTGTGGCGCAAGCACGGCTCCTTTTCGCGTCCATCTCCACCACGTCTGCCTGAGGTCTTCTTGTTCGGGAGCAGCAGGCCAAGCTGTTCGTTGAGCTCCTTTGTTCTTGGTGCCAAACTGACAGGTGTCAGGCTCCACAATGTCGTCTTCGTATTTGTGTTGCGGAAATGCACCATCTCTGTCCAGGCCACGCAAATCTTCAGGGAGAGTCTGAACCGAAGGGCAGCCTTATAGCAGTTGCGGTATCCTTCTTTGCTTCTTAGAGATTGAAACCTGAGAAACTATCCCCGAACACAAAGAATGTCAGAGATCATGTCGTCAAGGCACAGTTGCCCGGCACGAGTGCCTGGAGGTGTGCGTGGGTTCGACATGGCTAACCCTTTGAAAAATACGTTTTAAATTAGATGGCTGTTGACTAGATAATACGGTCAACCAAGGTATTGCACAACTTTTCGTCTGCATAGCTTCTTGCCCACATTAAAGCTGGGTGAGCTTTCGCGTTTTGAACCGCAGGGACACCTAGTGTGGGAGCCTGTTTGGCTTGGGGGAACACGCAAAACCGACTGTTGCTGTGGCAAGTACGCTTCCCCCCTCCCCCCCCGACGTGGACTGGTGTTGTGTGTGTGCTGCCAGGTACGCTCTTCCCCGTTTCCACCGGTGGCACGCCGGGTTGAAAGTGCTGCGTGCATTAATATGTATATGCATATATGGCAACATGTATATATGCATTATTTAAATGTATATACACATATTGATTCCAGCTGCTCGGGTACCTCGGGCCTTCAATACGCCTATGCAAATCCACTGGGATTTGGGACGATGACTGGGCTCTTCTCAATCGTTATGCAAGGCTGGTCTATCCGAATCCTTCCCAATTCAACTGCATACCCTCTGAGGTACTACTAGGTCAAAATTGGGCAAGGTCCTTCCGGATTGGAGAAGCGAATCCGCTTGGGGATAGCCCTGGCCCGTGCAAAACGGCTAGAAACTCAAACGTGGAAATTCATTAAGCATACATAGGTGCGGCTTGCAGATCCTCAGCGAACCTTTGCGCAAACTCCTGTGATACCAGCTGGGTTTGTCTCAACATGGTCTATGTATGTTTGTATTATAATACATAAATCTCTCAAAATGGCTATTCTCGTTGGTTTGCCCCAAAAGCAACCAAATACAATAAAATGCCGCTATGTGACCTTCAAACAAAACACTCCCACATTCAGCTCCAGGTTTCCATTTTGCTGGTTGCCCCTAGCAGAACTAGTTGTTCAGCCCAGACATCCTTGTGGAATACCTGAGCCATTCCTCAGTTTGAGTCCCAGTTGGCTATTGCTCCCAGAAGCCCAGAACCCGTTTCTAGGAATATACCATGAATCCTAAATAACTAGAATGAAGTTGTGGGGCACTTCATCAACTTCACTCATGAGTCATTCTGCGATCCCGACTCCAGGGGCCTCGCCCCCGACGTCTAAGATCTTCAAGTGCGGCAGCGCGCTGGTGGACACCTCCCCAGCTGCCGACCTCAGCTTCCCCGTGGAACAGCCTGGTCTCTGGAGGGAAGTGGCCCACAAAATAGAACCCAGCAGTCAGGTTCCACGTCAGTGGATAGGAGTCGGAGCGTAAATGGGAGTGTTTGTGGAGGAAACTAAGCAAACTGATCAGCCAAACAAACGAGCAAACAAGCTAAGCAAAGCAACGCACCGCAAGACAGACGGACAGACAAACAGACAGACAGATAGCCAGCCAAACAACCAAACAGAACAAAACAAACAACTCAAACAACTAAAACAACTCAAACAACTAAAACAACTCAAACAACTAAATAAAGCACAACACACACACACACTAAACAAAACAAACAAAGAGCTCATGCACTGGGAGCCGCGAAGTAAGCTGATTGGAGCTGCGTCCCGGCCCGGGCCAGTCATTCCCCGTGCCGCAAAGTCACATAGTGCGCAGGTGCGAGGGCACGACGCTCATGCCAGAGATCTGCCGTTCCTGGTAACGGAACAACCGGGATTGGACATGATGGTGGTGTGTCGTACCGTCGTACGAGGAAGATATCTAATGAAAAACAAAACAACAAAACATAAACGGTGGGACTGGACATGTGTGTGTGTGTGTATCAAGGGAAAGGCAGTACGTGACTTTTTCGCTCCTCTTAGGGGTCCCTGTGCTATGGCTCTGAATCAGTATTGGATTGGTGTGTTCCTATACATACGGGTCCCATATTGCCCGTTCTGATCTCTCCTTCAAAAATCAAGGAGCAACATCACAGACCGCTTTAAACAAGGCCGCTTCGAAAGAAGACTGTGTACACCACTTTGCTGAAAATGCCTCACTGACATGAAATATTAGCCAGTCACGGGTACTTGCATTTGACACTCACAAAGGAAAGAAGCAACTTAACAACCTTTGGTAAACGAAAACATCGTGGAGGCCTGCACCTTGGTGGTCTCAAGGACATGCGGCCCCTCTGTACCCACAAAGGGAGCATTGATCAGGGATGCGGCACCCCTCAACGTCCCCCTTTTCCAAGAAGTATTTATTTTGGGGGTTCCGCTCGGCCAAAGCACTGACCCTCTGAGGGACATGCCTTCTGGGGCGCTGTTCAACTTGCAACATATCCGAATCCTGGCCCCATTCTGTTCATCCAGCAGCAGCTACGGCGACATCAACATAATTGATCCGAATGGGGGCTCGTCAAAGTTATGTCACTGGGGGGTGTTGCCACAGAAAAGCGCTTGTCAGTATGTTTTCTGTGCCTGTTTGTAAGTATCTGCTTTGCACGACAATTTCTACAAAAAGCCAGAAACGCCCTTTTCAATCAGTGGCATGAATTGGTGGACCGTGACCAAACACATAGGATCTGGCTGGAATAGGGCGAACCGGATACACAAACGGAAACAACAATCACACGCAAAAAGCAGGGTGTTAAGCAAACTGAGCCCAATGAGAAACACTGGCGAAGATCATTCAGGCCATCCTCCTGTTAAGAGTAGAGATCGCTCTATCATTTATGGTCAAGGCTTCATGCTCATCGCATGAAAACCGCTGTGCCTGGCCTTCAACCAGGAGACCATGTCCGGCCCGGATTTCTTGACCTCGGTTCGCCAGTGGTTCTGCCATGGTCAAACTCCCTAACTGGGCCATGGAGATGGTTCCCTTAACTGAAACCTTTACCGCGGTTGCTCCGCAGCCTTTGGGTGCCTCCTTGTCGCTTGCTATTTGGTTGAATTCGAAGGGAGACTGTTGATGTTGGGGGGTGCATATCGCATTCTGAGACAAGCCTTCCAAATGGGTCCTTGCTGGTTTACCCTTGACTCCCCTCAACCCAACCGAATCAAAACGAAAACCAGCCGAGGCCGATTTCGCAGCATAAGCCACACAGCCTGAGGCCGCGTCCATGTCCGGGCAGGTGACGCTAGTGGCCATGGCCGCCATCGTGCCGTACACCTCGATGATGTGCACGTCCCACGACATGGAGGCCACCTGACCGTCAGGACACTTCGGCGCTGAGGAAGGGAAGCAACATGAAAAACATCTGGGCCTTCCTCTGACAAGTAGGGTCCTCCAAACGAACTCAAGTTGACATTGACCCGGTGGGGTCGCTGAGGGGAGCTAGATCCCACACATGAGGGCCAAACTGGTCCAACCCAAGACAACATCGAGCGTTACTAAAGCTGCATGAAGCGGCGTGACTTGATCACGACCAAACATGTTTATCTTAAAAATTGGGCCGACGCAGAACTAATTCAGATCTTAACCCAAGCAAGGCAGCACAACATCGGTTGAAAAGCTGCAGCAACAAATCGGTGTGTCCGCACATAGAGCACTTCTATGCAACCCCTCAATCCATGTTTCGGGAATGATTAGAATAGACATCCACATCTTGTCGTTGCCCTTCTTGGGGGTGTCCAAAAGGGAAACCAAAGGAACACAAAACACATGGGCACGTGTCACAAGAGGGCCTCCGCAAATGGTCGTCTTCCTTTTCATTCCGGATTAACCAACCTGTAAACAGGCAGAAAACACACACACACACACATGTGTGAGGGATTCAGCGACAAATCTGCACCCGAGGCCTGTGCGAAGCGGTCCTGGGAGGAGAGGCCCACATAGTTTCCTCAGAGATCCAAGGTGCAGGATGCAAGGTCGGCTTCTCTGGGTTTTACATAAGATGCCTGGACAAAAGCCATATTCCATACCCTTTAGGCGTTCTTGCTGAAATGTGCACCTAGTTCTCGAGAAGCAATGAATCACACGCCATCTTTTTCCTTTCCGTGAGACATGGGCCAAAACACACCCAACATGCTAAAACAAGATAGACAAGAAATGGACAAACTACCTCGAACAAAAACACGAATCCACGAACTACGAACAAAATCGCGTAAAACAAGGGACCGGTAAAAGGGGTCCTTCCCAGGGAGGGCCACATTTCCTGCTAAAGTGCAAGACGTGGGCCAATGCCGGATTCGACGCTGGGGGTGGAACTCTGCAAGTTCAGCTGTTACAGGTTGACACATCGCGATGTTTGTTCCCATCAATTGTTGTGCGGAATGCATACATTCATACATAATGTAGATATACATGTATATGCTGAAATGAGGGTAGGGTAAGCAGGAAGTCAAGTCCTATGCTGGGGTTTGACCGGTTAGTAGTTCACATATGGCTACCCAAATGGGAAAGGGTGCGGATTTGTTTTGGGTTTCTCCATTTTACTTTATGTTTATTTATTTGTTTCCTTCGCTTTTCGTGCTTTGCAGCATTACACTAGCCTGTCAACATCCCCAGCATCGTTTTCAACATCCCCCGCATGTCCAACCAACATCCCTAGCATCACCAACAAATCGTGGGCAACAAAATCTCAAAAGTAGCTGGCGGGTTGACGGGGTCGAAAAAATGATGATTCAAATAGGAGGGCATTCCACTCGCTGCAAAGCAAATCTAAATAGATTCGAATGTCTAAAAAGCAGCGTTTGGGGGGGGGGGCGGTGCCCCCCCCCATGATGTTCGAGGAAGTGATGATTCAACTAGGGGTGCAATTAAATCTCTGTAGAAAATCTGAAAAAGTAGCGGGGGGCCGCAGCCCCCCCCATGATGTTCGAAGAAGTGATGATTCAAATAGGGGTGCAATGATTTAAGAAAGGGTGCGATAGAATATAAAAAGCAGCGGGAGGGTTGGCGGGGGTGGCTTCCCCTATGATTTCGAAGAAGTGCATACACATACAAACATAGATAGATTACAAACATACATAGATTACATAGATTACATACAATTTCGTATTTTACAGCATTTTCTCGCGAATTTGGATGCTCGAAAACGTGATGAACCAAATAGGGGTGCGATAAAATCTCTGCAAGAAATCTAAAAAGTAGCGGGGGCTGGGTAGGCGACAGCCCCGCCCATGATGTTTGAAGAAGTGATTGATTCAAATAGAAATCCACCCCCCCCATGATGTTTGAAGAAGTGATGATTCAAATAGGGAGGGACTGGTGATGCAGAGGATGCAAAAAGCCAAAGCCACCAAAAGCCGCATAAACCAACAAGAAGCCAAAAAGCCAAGAAGCCAAGAAGCCGAAAAGCCAAGAAGCCAAGAAGCCAAGAAGCCGAAAAGCCAAGAAGCCAAGAAACCAAGAAGCCGAAAAGCCAAGAAGCCAAGAAGCCGAAAAGCCAAGAAGCCAAAAAGCCAAGAAGCCAAACGCGGAAGAAGAAGAAGAAGAAGAAGAAGAAAAAAACACGGGGGAAACAATAACCTAAAATAAATACCCTCCAATAGGAAATTATAATGAGACAAATGTTGAAGAACTTAGACTAAAATGTCAGATGTAACATGACTTGGACTTGTTCCACATGTGTCTGCAACAAATGCTAAAACCATCACAAGGTTGCAACACAGGTTTGCCCAAGCCACCCTGGCCATTTTCCGGCAACAAAATGAACACGACAGTACCATGCTAGGAAACAAGTCCCTTTGTGTGATACAGAAATGGGCCATTCCTATGGCTAGTTGCTTGGTCGCTTTCACCCGGGCTCCCTAATGTTGCCCTCCTAATTTGGACACCACGCTGCCCATGGCTCAACAAAGTTATTTCACAGACTTCCCTTGGGGACTCCCCTGGTGAAGAAAGGGGCTGTAAATCCACATTGCCCACAAAAACGGGCAGTAGGTCACTCTTCGCCCTTTTTCTGAGGAATTTAATCTGTTCTACTCCAATTTTCAGACAAGGCCAAAGGCGGCAAAGATGTTTCGGATGCTGCCAAACGTTGACCATCCAAGCAGCCCCAAATGCGCACAACGTTCAGCGCCGACTTGTGGCGAATCATCACAGCCTTGGGCTTCCCTGTGGAGCCACTGGTGAAGATGAGGTAGGCCAGCCTGCGCAAAAAGAAACCTCACTGCCTGAGCGGAGTGGCCCAAAAAGTAAAAACTTTTGTTTACCTCTGAACATGTCTTCCGAAAAAACAAAAGAAGAAAACAAAAGAGACAAAGTCCAGAAACTCCGACAGAAAGTTGGTGGTTCGCGGTTGTTCGTCGGGGAACGATTCGAGTTTCCGCCTGTTCGTGCTGATCAAGACTAGACTGGATTGGTGTGGTGGTGTGTCGCGGAAGGGCCTCAATGGCCACACCGTTTCGTGCCCGCAAGACCTGGTTCAACTGGTGAATGTTTTTGTGTCGCTCATGACGTGCGTGTGTGTGTGTGGGCGTGGTCGTGGGCGTGTGAGTGTGTTTGTGTGTGTTTGTGTGTTTGTGTGATTGTGTGTTTGTGTGTTTGTGTGTTTGTGTGTTTGTGTGTTTGTTGTGTTTGTTGTGTTTGTTGTGTTTGTTGTGTTTGTTGTGTTTGTTGTGTTTGTTGTGTTTGTTGCTTTTGTTGTGTTTGTTGTGTTTGTTGTGTTTGTTGTGTTTGTTTTTTTGTTTTGTGTTGTTGTGTGTTTGTTGTGTGTTGTTTGTGTTTTTTGTGTTTTTTTTTGTGTTTTTGTGTTTTTTTGTGTTTTTGTTGTTTTTGTTGTTTTTGTTGTGTTTGTTGTGTTTGTTGTGTTTGTTGTGTTTGTTGTGTTTGTTTTTTTTGTTTGGTGTTGTTGTGTGTTTGTTGTGTGTTGTTTGTGTTTTTTTGTGTTTTTTGTGTTTTTGTGTTTTTGTGTTTTTGTTGTTTTTGTTGTTTTTGTTGTTTTTGTTGTGTTTGTTGTGTTTGTTGTGTTTGTGTTTTGTGTGTTTTGTGTGTTTTGTGTGTTTTGTGTGTTTTGTGTGTTTTGTGTGTTTTGGTGTTTTGGTGTTTTGGTGTTTTTGTGGTTTTGTGTTTTTGTGTTTTTGTGTTTTTGTGTTTGTGTTTTTGTGTTTTTGTGTTTTTGTGTTTTTGTGTTTTTGTGTTTTTGTGTTTTTGTGGTTTTTTGTTTTTGTGTTTTTGTGTCTCTGTGTTTCTGTGTTTCTGTGTTTCTGTGTTTTTGTGTTTCTGTGTTTCTGTGTTTCTGTGTTTTTGTGTTTGTGTGTTTGTGTGTGTGTGTGTGTGTGTGTGTGTGTGTGTGTGTGTGTGTGTGTGTGTGTGTGTGTGTGTGTGTGTGTGTGTGTGTGTGTGTGTGTGTGTGTGTGTGTGTCTGTGTGTGTGTGTGTGTTTGTGTTTGCGTGCGTGCGTGTGCGTGCGTGTGCGTCGTGTGTTTGTGTGTGCGCGGCTGGGCATGGATGTGTGTGTGTGTCTGTGTGCGTGTGTGTGTTTGTTTTGAGAGTACCCTTTTTCTGGTCAGTTTAAAGGGACATCAGAAGGACATCAGAGGTTCCCCTAGTTTGACACATACCCACATGAGCTCACATGTCATGACTATTCTGCGACACATATGCTTTTCTTTGGCTTCTGGAGCTGACCCCCCGGGCCCCAGCATCAGAACACGCGCTGCTTCCGTCTCCTGGACCTCGGTCCACCCGCACATAGAGTGCAGCCACCAAGCACTGCATATTTTACCTACATTGTGATGTTGCACAACGAGAAAAACACAGAAAAACCGATGTATCTTAGCTCGAACCCAACTACTAGCCTGGTGGCTATGCTTGACCCACAGCACTTCTGTTTGCAAGTCAGCAAACACATTGGTTGCTTCCCACTTGCACAGGCGCTGAAGCAACACAACCAACATGGGTGCTTCATCGTTCCCAGGACCTCGCACTTGGCTGGCTTTGCCTCGCTTCCCTTCAAACTCAGCGCAATGAACAAAAACAAGTCTGACAGTCCGACGCTTGTTGCATTGGCTCCCTGCCTGTCGAGGTCGTCCTCAAGCGAGATTCGCTCGTGAAGAACCCAAGGCCCGGCCAGTGGCTGGGAAGAAAACAAGTCACGTTCGTCTCAAGTCTTGGTTCGATTGGCCCTTCAAAAGTTTTGTGTTTGCAATCATCGGCCCAAACAGAATAACGTCTGGAAAGTTGTTGGAAGTTATCTTTTGGTTGGTGTTGAAAGGGACACCTGACCCATGTGATTGAAAGTGAGCCTTTGTTGCAATGAAACACCTCACGAATAGTCAATCCCCTGACTTGCTATAGCAATGGTCAATTCTCCGTTGGTTGAACATCCAGGGATCAACTGACTAGCCCAAATCCATGGTGGAGATGTTGCTCTGTACCAAACTGACCAACCCCTGTGACCTTGCTATTTTCGTACGAGGGTTTCACTTGATATCCAAAGACATGTATTCTCTGAAATTCAAAGATGATAATCAAATGTATTTCTTGCATCCTTTACTTTTTGAGGTTGATCCAAGCCCTAAGCAAAGATCGATCACCTCTTGTACACGCAAAAACAAAAAAAAACAAAAACAGCATTGAGAAAGCCAACTCCAAAAGGTCCAATGAAACGAGCTCGCCCCACGGCTTCGACTCCCACGCTCGGCTCGCGCGCGCCGGCTTCTCGCGCGCCGAGGCGCGGGGCTGTGCCGTGCGGCGGGGGGGTTCGTCGCGCCCTCCGCCTTCTTGAGGGCGAGGTCGACGTCTAGCACCACACGCCTGAGGGACACGCGTGGCGTTGAGGCTCGACTCGGTGCCACTGTGCCACGGCCCTTTGGAGGAAAGGGACATGGAGAACCGGCTTGCCAACTTGCGGGGGAGCCTTTTGGACCAGTATTTGGACACATACCCGACATACCCGTTCTGAAGGACGCCCCTCGGCGACTAAAGCAACACCCGGTATGACAAAAACCAGGGAGCACTGGGCCTCACATCCCCACAGCCCAGCACCGGCAGATTGACTCCGCCCGTCGCGGTTTGGGAAAAACGTGGCTCCCAGAGAGAGGACTTTCAGCCGAGTGGCGGAAAGTCGCCCAAGGAGGCAGCGATGTCTGTCAGGCCCAAACGCTTCAGGACTCCAGAACTTGAGATCATCACCTGAGTCAAAGCCAAGCTCGGGCCAACCGGGTTGAAACGTGGCATTGTTGAAGCATCCTCCGTTGATTCCCTTTCAAGGTGGCCAGTCGCTGTTACAAATTCAGCACAAGCCCGGCTAAAGCTTTCTAGGCTTCACTCGAGAGGCGAAACCCCAAGGTGCTGGTTTTGTGGGTTGGCTATCGGGTCCCACTGTTGGTTGCAGAAAGGTCACACGCTGGCAAACCAAGTAGATTAGCAGGACTCAGCCAAGATGTTGAGCAACTCGAACCACTCTGCTTCCGCTGGGCAACATGTATTTGCACCAAACCAAACGCCCTACCCAAAGGATCCCCCCCGCCCCCATAGGCTGTATTCTTATTCTGAGAAACTCCATAGAGGAATCCCCATTATGGGGCCCGGTGTCCTTGTAGTTTCCCTTTAACCCCTCCCCAAAAGACACACCCGAATTTAGGTGTTCTTTTAGAAAATAGAAGTCACAGGCATGTGACTAAGCCCAAACTGAAACCAGACACGTCTAACTGCTTTCAGCCAGACTGGCCTAAGCCCCAAATGAAACTCAGGGAGTGACATGCCCTATTACTCTCCCTTCAAAACTGCGGAGACTAAGGGTTGGCTTCCCAAACACAACGCCACGGAATGGGAGTGAGCCTTCGGCCGGCCACGTCAATTGAGGCTCCCGCGGGCGGCCTCGCCACCTCCACCCAGGTCCTGAGCTTCTCGACTGGCTCCGCCACGTCGAAGGCGTTGTAGGCGCAGCGCTCCAACATCACCTCACGTGGGCCATTGGCTTTATAATTATAGCGAGGGAATGATATGAACTATCCCTTGTGAATTCTGAATTCTAGATTCCTTTTCGGGATAGGTTCACTCTCAAACATCCTTTGATTAAATGCCTGCTTGAGCAATGTCAATCACTGTCTGTCTGATGCGCGCAACCAGAGGAAACCAACACAAAACTCCGAATCTGTTGGCCTTGGTCATGGTTAAAAAACAAAAAACACTTGGCGGCACTTCGAGGCGCTGCGTGCACGGCGGCGATGCTCTTCACGCCGCGATCCAAGACAATTGTCACCTGAGTTTCGCTCGGAGGGTTTGTCCAAAACGGGTTTACACCGAAACCTGTCGGGCCGCCCAAAGCGGCCAGGTTGGGGTGGTTTTCATTTTTTTTACTAGCCCTGATTGGCCACATCCCCACCGGCCTCACTTGGGCCTAGGGCCGCCTATTGACCCTGATTTGGTGGCTGTTGGGAGGTTGCTCGGGGCTGGTTTAACTATACGGCGGGTTTTGGGATGGTTTCGATCTTAATGAGGGTGGGTCTTGGGTTCGTTGGGGATTTGGCTAGGCTCGGCAAAGGGCAGATACTGCATCAGGACTGCTGTTGGGTGGGTTTCTTATTGGATTTGAGTGGGCGTGGGGCTGGCTTGGAGCTGATTTGTGCTAGATGTTTGGCTTTGGGATTGCTTTAGAATGTGGTTATGCGAGTTTTGAGCTAGTTTTGCTAGGGGGGCGAGGGGTGGGACATTGCTCCAAAACCAATCACAAAACTCACCTAACGGCGATGAATTGAAAAGAAAAGTGCCCTCTACTGTCCCGATTCCATTGTCGTATTCCGCCTCTGGAATTGTGTTTGTCCCAATTGTGAAGACTTGATAATTGACCTACTAGTATCGAAATCATGTGGTATTTGTACAAATAGGGGATTTCCCTTTAAACCAATCTGAAAGCTGCCCTCAAAAGCACATCCCCATATTGGGTTATGGTCTGAACAACTAAACGACAACTGAATCAGCCTGAGGTGCAACATGCTCATCGGCACGACGTCGGTGAGCTTCGGGTGAGCCTGCAAGCAGTTCGGACGTGCTACCCTCGGGCCGCGGGCGCTCTTTTTTTAGTAGGACAACACTCATTGCAAGCGGCGTGATTTGTGGAATTGTGCGGGTTCTAACCCCCTGGTTGATTCATAGGGGAGGGCTCCCAGTACACGGGTAATTCGGAGGTGCAACAACCCTTTCCCAATCAAGGTTGGCTAATCTGGGTGGACATTGTCACACCAAAACTCATGCCTACTGCAAACATTGAAGGCGCAAACACCCAAAACCGATAACGGGGAGCTATGCCAGCATTTGAGCCATCGTGAAGACTCCAAGTTTAAGAGGTTCGGCCTCAGCGAGTGGCCAACCAGAGTTGCATCCAAGTGGGTACTCCGGCAAGCAACCAGGACTGGCAACGTGGGCAGACCTGCCAAATATCATGCCCAGAGTAACACCAAAGAACCTGGACATCCTAATGTCATTCAAACCTATGACCAGTATGTCCGCGCTGCCTGCGTGCTTGGGGTGTCGTCAGAACGATTGCGCACAAAGGTTGATGGCAGGCCCAACAAAACAAACAAAACCGGCTGAAGGCATGACGTTGAAAATGTGCTTGTGATCATGCATGGTAGAGGACAATATGGGAAAGCCAGCGCTTTTGGCAAGCTATGTGCCCAAAAGAACCCAACTCTTGAAGAGATTCGGGAAACCCGTAGACCCCAAAAGGGAACAGCCCATGCTGACCTCTCCCGAAGTCCTCTTAGAAGTTGGCCAACTGCACGGCCCATGTGCACTTGACACATAAAATACTTGTTGGTTCTCATCCGGGAATCGAGAGACTAACCTAGAGATCCCCTTGCAGGACACCACAGGGGAAAGTTCATGCGCAATTGCCTCTGAGAAGCATGGCGCCCATTCTTCAGACACACCCATATGGCCATATAGGCCCTGCGGACATCCAACCAAAGAAGGAAAGTCAATCACGCTTGGAGACCAAGCAAGTGATTTTCAAGCCACAGGACATGGGGCTAGAAAATATCCGGGTCCCTGGAATCCTTGAGCAAAGATCTTGCTTGGGCCAACGCTGGGTCCATACAAGGACCCCCAGTTAATTTTGAAGGGGACCAGCGGAAGGCCCGCAAGCCTGGCTCCGACGTCAGGGGCAGCTCAAGGGAGTGCAGTGCCTTGCAACGTGCATGGCTTCCCAAGTTTCCCTGAGCACTGAGCAGCGCTCAAAACCCATTGACCTTTGTTTCCAGGCTATGAGGATTTCACCAAGCTCGGGGCTGCAACCCCTAAATGGGCTGGGTGCTGCTCACTTGAGCCAAGGGGCGAGGGATCAAAACAAAATAGGCATCAAACAAAAACGTATTCTTGAAGATCAAAAAGGAACAAATTTCTGCTCATAGATATAATATCATACATGAAAAGTCAGAGGATCAAAAAAGCTTATTAGGGATCGGAATACTTCTTCAATTCGTGGCAGGCGCAGCACTTTCGCGCAAGGTCAGGTACAGATTTCGTGGCAGGCAGGTGCAGCACTTTCGCAAGAAAAGAGGTGCAGATTTCTTGGCAGGCGCAGCACTTTCGCAAAGTCGGTACAGGTTTCGTGGCAGGCGCAGCACTTTCGCAAGGGAGAAAGAGAAAGAGAAAGAGAAAGAGAAAATGGAGAAAAAAAAGAGAAACAAAGAGACGGAGAGACAAGGAAAGAAACAGAAACCTCGAGAAACCCTTGCAAAATACTATGTCGCAGAATTAATCCTGCTGCGGAAGCTAACCTTAGGTGGGCTGACATCAGAAATGGCAAAGGCCACAAGGCTACAGCCATAAACTTTTCGCAGGGAATCCAAATAAGTTTGCGTGAGACCCAACAGCAAGTCACAACGTTGCTTGGGGAACTCTGCAAAAAACAAATAACAAGCAAGCGGACATTCTAAAAGCCAGCGGGGGGTGGGGGGTGGGGGGGGGGGCGGCAGCCCTCCTCATGATGTTCGAAGAAGTGTTCAACAAAGGGTATTCTAAAAACCAGCGGAGGAGTTAGGGGGGGGGGGGGCGGCAGCCCCCATGATGTTCGAAGAAGTGATGATTCAACACAGGGTGCATCCGAGTGCATCCGCCGATTCCCGAAAACGATTTTTGATCGCTCATAAGTTTTTTTGGTTCACGGATGCCTATCCCTGAGCCAAGGCTCCCATGAGGGATGCCCGCATTCATGCCCCTGCTTTTTGGTACCAGCACAGGAGTCGGTTTTCAAGTGACACCTTTTCAAAGTGACAGCTATCCAGAAACTGACACCTATATAAAGAAACTTAGACACCAGTAGTTGATCTCAAGTCACACCTGCCAAGGAAAAAATGGAACCTAAACTTGGCAGCCCTTTCTTGTTGGCTGCTGTCCAGAGGCACCCTTCCCACGGAAAACAATTGAACAAAGCTCGGCCAACCTCTGCGGTGCACAGAACCACAACTCTTTTTATGCTATGACATATTCAGTCACCCCTGAAATACTGTGGAGGGACAAAATCCTGCACCAAGAGAGACCATGGGAAACCGCTGTTTGTTGGTCTTCGCGGGGGAATCGTCATTCCAGGGATTCTTAGGTGGTGCAGGATTCTTTCCATCCACAGTCTGGGCCATGATGTTAGTTGGGGCCCGTTGTCGGACGCCATTTCGTCCAGGATTTCTGTCGCCGCGCGCGCCGCGCCTTCCGGAGGACCTTCCGGATGGCGGTGGCCATCCTCGCCACCTGCGCGTCGACGCGTCTCGCCGGCCGGGTGTGGAACCCCCTCGCTGCGTGCGTGCCGCTGCAAGCTGGAAGCTGCGTCTTCCCCATGGGCATGAATATTGTCTAGAAACCGTTTCCGGGGGGTTGTTGGTGTTTCAGCTCATTGGCTGCAATCATGCTTTGATTTGTATCTGCGCTCCATTGTTTCACTTCCAAACAATTCCATTGCTTTTGCACCTGAAGACATGAGCCTCTCACAGGGAAAATTCAACCTTTTAGAGCCTCTGAACCCAAACCAACATTGGAAATCACAAGGTGGACGTGGTCGATTTGCTTTGAGCAAGTGAATATCCCACGTGCCGAATGGGTGGTGTGGTTTTGGTTTCCCTTTAAGCCAACTCTAAACAGGATACGCTCAACGAAACACACGGCCGCATGAACAAATGCATCCGGGCAATTCCAACCGACGTGGGGATGAGTTTCATTTGGGAACCCTTTCAAAAGGCAGCATTGATATGGGAATTCCTTGCCACCAACCGCGCTTGCGGTTGCTCCAATCCTCAACCGTCATAGCCATTTGTGGATTCTCCAGTTTGCCCTTTGCGGGAGACTTTTTAGGAGTGGTGTTTATGGGAAACCAAAGGCACAAGGCAAGCCCAATTCCAATGTGTCCAGACCTGCGCCAAACAGCATTGACCGTGTCTTCCATCAGCATTGTTTCCCGGGTTTTATCCCATACTTCAATCAACATCTTCATGAAAGCAGACCTCCCTAGAATGGCTATTGAGGCTTACAAATGCAAACACAGCCCAGACTGCAGCCTTTAACCAGGGAGTGGACTCTCTCCTAGACCGAATCCGTTTTTTTGGGTGGATTGTTCCTTGGAAACTACAGGGAACCAAGACCAGGCTTCACGGGCCAAACATAGACCCCTTGCAACAACTTGACTTGTTGTTGGTTAAAAGCGAGAAATACGGAGGGAAAAAGGCAAGAGGTTAAAAAGGTAAGCTAAGTTTGGCGATGTCTTGACCCTAAATACATTCAGCCCATGAAAGGGAAACCACCAGCCTGAGCAAAAGTATAGCAGGCCGAGTCCACCTCGAGGCACACGCCCTCCCCTTTCTTCGCGGCTGCCGACAGCAGCAGCTCCCCTAAATTGGTCTCGTGCCCTGGCATGCACAACCTAGGTGGGCGTGGGCTGGGTGGGCTGGTCGGGCCATCTCATGGGCTGAACCCCTTTTTGGTGGGTCCTGAAGAGAAACTTAGAGGGCAACCTCAAGAAAATGCTGTTGTGTGTGTGTGTGTGTGTCTGTGTGTATCAACATAGGGACCCCCGCTTGTTGCATTGCATTTGAAGCACCATTTGAAGCCCTAGTTTGGCTGTTTTGATCCGCCATGTAGCTTGTGGTTTCCAACAGGAGGCTGAGAGCTGGGATTCTGGAAAACTGGGATAATCTAGTGACCTAAGGTATGAACCGCTGGATGAAACCCCGGTATGAACCTCCAGCTTTTTGGGCTGACTAATCAACCCTTACTTTTGCTCGAGTATATGGTACAATCAGCCTTTGGTTGTCAATGTTGACTTCCCAACCAGGGAAATAGTTAAACTGGGGGGCTTGCACTAAGTCTCTGCAGCATGGCAAAAACACCCTGGCCAGGAAACATGCGAACATTCCGCTCGGCGCAGCAAATCGAGAAAGTGACGAAAGCCCGGTATCCAGGAGTGGGCATGCGGCTGTGTATGATCTGCAATGCCCCATAGCCTCCAATGTCCCGGGGTTTTGTTGTGGCTCCCTCGACCGGGCGCCAGAACTTTAGTTGAAAGTTCCTTCACCTGCAACGGCGCCCTTCACCAGCATCCCGCCACACTGCGAATGGGCTTGTCTCAAAATTGAGGACCCCCCCCCCAAAATGAGTGGCTCCCAAAATGAATGGCTTCATTTGGTTCTCCTGCAAACCCAAAAAAGGGGGTCCCTGCAGAAAAGAACCCACCCCAATCACGCTCATCAGCCTGCAGCAGGACCCTTCCAAATGTTTGCGTCACGCCCTCTTTCTCAGGTTGAGTTTACAAATAAGTATGGCTTCCATCTGAACACAAACAAACATCTAGGGATGGATGCCCAGGAAATGGAGGCAAAGGGCGTTCAGCAACGGTCACATGCCGTGTCCCCACAGTCTCGGAATCCTTTCAAATGCCCGGCTTCGTAGAAACATTTTAACTCCGCCCAAAACAATCAGGGGCTACTGGAAACATGCCCCCTCATGATCATCTTTACCTTGGCTAGCTACAAAATTGAAGCGGACATCCACATTAAGGCAAACGCAAGGGTGGCACCGGACACTGCAATACAAGTCGCCGAAATGGAAATACTGCCCAAAGAACATGGACACTCCGAGCGTAAGCTCGCCACACCTCGACCAAAGGCCCTTTCACCGAAGCAAACAGTAGTTCCAAAGCCAAAAACAAAGCCTGAGCTTGGTCGATTCCAAAAACTAGTCCGAGTGGGAAACAAGGAACATCCTGTAGCTGCACATTTCCCGATAGGTTTGCTTTCAATTTTGCAATCACAAGTACAAGTATCACCGTGTTCAACGCAGCAAGGTCTGTGAAATGATACGACAGAATACTGTAGGTCTTTCCAAACTAGTGCTGGCCAAAGCAACTCTCCATCCACCGCAACGAGTTGTTGATGCAAAAGCTCCAAAGCATTCGCGTCGGCAGCAGACATGGCCGGCAAAAATCCTTTACACCCCCGGCGGGCTGCACAATGCGTGCTAAGCAGCGAGCTTGCCTTAAGCAAAAAGCTACGGTCGTGCAGGGAAGCAACTTCCGTAGCATTTGTGGGGATATATCCAGGGTGAATTGATTAACTCTGTTCGAGATGTTGAACCGCTTGTGGGGCAAGCCCCCTAGTCATCCGCCAGGCTTCATCTGGGTTTATCCTTGCATAGGGGGGAACCTTACGAATAGTATTCCTTCAAGACGACCCTAGATGCTAAACATAAAAGGATGCTCTCAAACAAAACTCGCGTTTTCGGGTCAATATTGCATGCGGCCTTGTCCTTCGACTTCATGTCCTTTCGTCCCATGTCGAGTGGGTGCTTCTCAAACAATTTTGAACCACTAGAACAGTTTGTCGCTGTCCTTCTATCCTGGATTATTCGGGGTTTTCATTACTCACGGTGGGCTGCCCCTTTGATCATGGTTTTGCAAACTGCGCCCTTCCTGAGGTAGGCCATGAGCTGTGCCACAAAAACGGGGCACTCCCCTCGGTACAGAACATGGGATTCTGAATGACTCATGCCCCACTACTACAATGCCACATCGCATTGTAGCAGGGAAAATGTGCAGTGATCGGTGGCAATCGAGGCGATTCCCATCTCGGTGAGCTTGCTTCACCTCACGCAAAGAACCACAAACCAAGTAACCAAGTAATCGTACCAAGTAACCAAGTAACCAAGTAACCAGCCAACCAACCCACCAACCCACCAACCCACCGACCCACCGACCCACCGACCCACCGAACCCCTCGACCCACCAACCCACCAGCCAGCCAGCTTGGTTTTTAAAGAAACATCTGAGACTGTACTAATCCTATTTCCTGTTGGCTTCCTTTTACCACAAGGCGTGCACAACATCCACAAATCCGAGCTTCAAACCAAGGGAGCAGAAACGAAGCAGAACAAATAGCCCAATGCGGCTCGCGACAATTCTGCAAACCAACTACTCAACCCCCAATGAAACAAGGTCGCAGAACCACTCACTAAAATGGCCACTGGGGGTATTGGCCGCTCAATTTTGCAACCCGCCGATGTCAACCGCGGGACCTGGGGCCCCAGCCCCGCCGACACCGGCGCAACCCTCGGGAGGCCCATGGCGGCGTCCAGTGCGTGCTCGTTGCCCGCCAGGTGGATCCTGGCAAATCGACGCTCCAAGAACGGTGTTCTATATTTTTGGAAAACACCGGTTTGTTGGTTTTAAGGGAAGGTTTACCATGTTTGAATTCCCTCTTGCTAAAGCAAACACTTATGTGCCATAGTCAAAGTCGCAAACGTTCCGCCAAAAGGACATGGGAACATGAGAGCGAGTCCCCGGGCTTTTGTGGGAAATGGACCATAGACTACTTCAAACTTCGACCAAACCTGGTATGGGCGTGACTTTTTGAGGGTACCTTGACGAGGCTGGTTTGAACCAAGAGCACTGCCACTATTTTTTGGGTTTTTCCCTCATTGACACATACCCAAATGTCCCCCAACATCATATGCTACACAGCCAATTTTTGCGAGTGGGGCTGGCTGAGGCTTGGTTGGGCATGGCAGTGGATTTTAAGACCTTGAGTAGGCTCAGGGTTGATTTAGCGCTGAGTTGAGGAACACCAGCCTTGCTTGTGGTGGTTCCAGAAAAATATTCCAAAACAAAAATGTAAAAACACCAGGAACACCATCTGTAAACGGCGGACACCAACTGGACGCCTCCGCGATGTCGACGAAGTCGGTCCTTCTCTTCAACCGGATTCTTATACTTAGCAAAGTGAGTTTCTGGGAGTCTTTCGGTGACTTGGGACAGGGCAACCAACAGCCGACGCTGATAATATCCATTCAACATTGGCACCAACCAGAACCGCTGCTTGTGGGAAGGAAAATCAAAGGGTTCTCCAACTTTTGGGGAAATTCGAATCGCAGCGCCAACACATAGTTCAGGCCTTGAAGATCTTCGTAAGAATGCAACTCGCAGTGCCATACCTTCTTTACAATCTGGAAACCCAGATGCGACATGCTTTTCTGTCCATACGGCTTGGGCCACAAAAAATGGCCATACGGTCATTCACGGCTTTTTTTTCTTATCAACAATGTGTTGAAACACACGGGTTGCATAAATACGGCCACCGGCCAGCAAAAAATGCCCAAATGGGAAGCACGATCCAAATATGGGTTCCGTCCAGAAGAAAAAGGCCATACGGCTTTCCGGGAACTTGCTTAGCAATTTTGTTGGGTAAGCAAGCTCCTTTGTTCGTTCTGGTTGTTCAAACTTGTTGGTTCTCAGCGAATAAATGAGGGAATGATGCCTCAGGGGATCCCCACCCCCTTCAGTCTCCCAACCCTCTTGATTCCCTACTCAGAACTAAGGCAATCTGCATACTTAACAATAGTTCAAAACCTGAAATCAGGAATCCCAATCCCCGAGATTGTAACCTACATCATATGCCCTGAAATCGCAAATTGAAAATACAAAAACATGCTCTCTGGTCTGCTCAAAACCAACTGCAGAATCAGAAGGGCGGCCGCACCTATTTTGTGGTTGGGTTTGTGGCTCGCTTCGGCGCAACAAATGGCTGTTTCTCAAAATAGTGGGCCCAATTTGGTGGTTTCCTGAGGTTTTCCCCTTCAACCAAGCTGAACAAACAGTGCGCTGAAAAACTAAAACTCACGCACGCACGCACACACAGACACACAGACACACACAGACACACACACACAGACACACACAGACACACACAGACACACACAGACACACACAGACACACACAGACACACACAGACACACACAGACACACACAGACACACACAGACACACACAGACACACAGACACACACAGACACACACAGACACACACAGACACACACAGACACACACAGACACACACAGACACACACAGACACACACACACACACACACACACACACATAATTTGGGCCCCTGGTTGATCCTCTTTTCAAGGCTAGCAACCCAAATCCCGTCGGCTTCGCCACTTGGTCATAATGAACTTCTCCCCGGCAGTGACCGGGCACGCGCCATGGTTCACCAGCTGATCGCCTCGCATCCGGGCTTTGGACCCAAGGAACCCCCCCCTGGAAGACCAAAACCCGGCCAAGCAAAGGCCGACTCAGCTTCCATTTCGGGAGCTTGAGTCGCTTCCATCTGCAAGATGGAACCCGCAAAAGGTCTCCTGCAAGATGGATCCATGTGAATTTGCAAAGGTAGTACTTAGAATCAAATGCTAGATGTATTTGCCGAGATTTTGTCCATGGCCTTTGTGGCTGGCCTCCTTTGAAGGGTGTCCTGTGAACATTCAAAACAAGGGTTCACGGTACCCATTTGCGCTGTTTCTTGTCCTCAAACCAATCACCCACACATACCATACCCTTGAACATCCCAATCTTGCTGGAAAATCAAGAATATGGGCAAAAAAACGACAATGAGTGCCTGGGAGCTTGTAAACTCCCTGTGTGCATCACGGCTTCTGAATGCTGGATGGTCATCTGCGCAAAGTATTTGCCGCACTATAATTCACCAACCTTAATTGTATAAGAACTCCGTAAGTAATAAGGGACCATGGGAGAGCTCATTCTACCCCCCCCATCGCTGAGCTCGCTGTACTCAGTGTGAGTGTCTAATGGTCATTAATACAATGATACCAGCCCTCGCAAAACAAGTGATAGGATCAACTGGTAACGTCTGTCACCTGGATCCATGACAGGGCATCATGATAGCGGACGCTAATCCCTCTCAGAGTCCGATGGGTCACAATGCTTGAAACCCCTGGACACCTGTCACAACTTGTTTGGCAAAAAATTGCGGGCCACCCGAAAACCAGCCCAAACATGTGTAGACGCCCCACCCCCAACCCAACTAAAAGCCAAGTTCCCAGTGGATACTCATTCAACCAATGGTAAAAGTAGGCAGTCATGTTCTGGGACAATGCACAAGTGCTCCATACACCTTTCCAAAACGCTAGCAAACCGTGACCGTACTCAAGTTATTCAAAATGTTGCACGCCTTGGGCCTGCCTGGTCATTCAAACCGGTAATTGGGCTAACTCACCTTGCTTGCATGTCAGCCGACCCTGTCACCCCGCTCGTAATCATAGTTAGCACCTCGTCATCGAACATCCCAGTGCTTGACTGGTGAACCCGGCACTCCGGCACTCTCATGAGACGGCACCAGTGCTCAATCGCCAAGTCCGATTTAATAGCACGGCAGCCATTTTGTATTCCCGGCTGTACATATAAAGCCCGACCGATCGAAGTTGACCAGGCAAGACAGCTTGGCGTTTGCCAAGCCTTTCAAATGGTTTGCTTCCTGCGACTACTTCGCCCGGCGCGGGAGCGCGATGAGCTCGTACCGATTCCAGCTATCTCGAGCGGCGCTCCGCCTAGCCGGAGATTACTGTGCCTCCACCGAGATTTGTATCCACTGGGCCATCTTGCACATCCAGGCGCGAAGCAGCGCGCTGCCCTTTAGTGAGGTGCTGCTTGCTGGCGCCATCAGTTTATCAAGTCACCCCGACTCCCCCCCTCGGACAGAAGCCTTCTTGACCGGGAAGAAGGTTATGCCAAAATACCGCCGTGCCTGCGAGGTGCAACTTCGACAGACTCAGACTTTGTTTGCTTTTCTGTCGACCCCTTCTGCGGAACTGCACAGACCGTTCAAGGTTTTGAGTTTGGGGGTCGCAATGATCCTTCTCTTGAGGAAAGCCTCTGCAAAAATTACAGTATGGAGTGTGACCAAAAAAGCTAGACGATCAGCATGGCAAACCTTAGATACGGGCTGGAACCAGGGCAAATATTGGCCCCTGCAAAGGGCCCAAAGACAGGCGAATCCTTTGTCTGCTTGTTGGTTTCGAACATCTTTCGGAGGAATTTGAAGGGACACATCCACCCACCAAAAAGAGGGAGAACTTTGGTTCCCCTTTAACAGTGCTGCTGCGCTGTGCCGGGGGGGGAACATGCCCCCTTCGAATATAGTACTCAAATCCATTCAACTTAGCATCGAAATGGCTGATCGTTGATCTCTCTACGGATTTCTCTGGGTTCCAAAATCGGGGATGCTAAAAATGGAAGCTTTGGCTTCTCTAAACTCTTCCAATGCCACGAATCGCTTGACACAGATTGGCACTGAGAAGCCTATGCCGACGCGCCTACGGAGGGGTGCAGGCTGATGTTCTGGCGCACGAAGGTGGTAACGCCACCGCCTTGCGAGTGGGAAACAAAAAAGAGCCGAACAAAATTGGCTCATCCCTTACTCACTACCCAAAGGATCCGGAAATAAAATATTGGCCTTTTGGAACGTTGCCCAAGCGTGCACCAAATGAAGGAAACCAAAGGCGAAAGGAAACCGAAAGGTCAACATGTCGGCTTTAGGCAAGTGAGCTTATATTCACACATGTGTCTTTGTTCCGACTCATTTGAGACGTAAGGACAGGGTAGGGTAGGACCCCTTGCTCAAATGCTTTATACACATTCAAAGCACCTCGTTTTAGTTTCCCCTTTAAAGCTGCCATGGCCATGGCTTTGTTTACACATGGTGCACCCCCAACCTGTCTCAAACTTTTTCCCCGAGCGCCATGTGCGCTGTGCTCCTTTCGGCTCTCGATACAAACGAAACGCCTGCCACGTCGTTGAGGTACATCAAAAAGGTGGCGAGCCTCGGGCCCCGCAGCTCACCTCAAAGGAATTCGAGTCCGCTTGGGATGGGCGGTTTGGTCCGGGGTGCCTTGTCGAAAAGGAAGCCGGTGTTTGGCCGGCTTTGTTGGGTGAACAGACATTGTATGCCTTCTTGCCTGAGTTTGAAGGAAGGACCCCACAGTGCGTGGAAACTCGAAAGGTGAAGGCAAACCTGGGTGCGACTTGAATACCTTGCGTACCTCCACTTGCTCAGCAAGAACGTAACTAGTAGCTGCAGTGCGCCATGCTCAGTGCACACTTCCCCAAACAAGGGCAGGCGCTGGAGCGGAAGGGGAGCTGTGCACTGGGCCCTGGATGGTTTCTTTTCTCAGGGTCGACAGGCCAGTTGGCAGCCAACATCCCGTTCTGCCTCCTCCAGGCATGTACAAAACGAGAGCCACCGTCCAAATGGCCAACGTCGCATTTGCCAGTTTCATTCGGCATGAGCGTTAAAATTACTTGCTTCCTCATGTCAAGAGGACATGGCCGTGGCAACATGAGTGTGTGCGCTGGCAAATGTCAAATTATATCTGGCCAACCAGTCACGATGGAAACTGACCCCATGTCCCAATTTTGGGCAATGTGTCGTGAAATATGCAGCGTATGCAAACCCTCCGAATGAGGAACCAAACAAAAGGGCCTTCTTGCCCATGAACCTCTTACAGCCGGACGGAGCGAGCAACAGCTTGCTAAACCTGAAAGTGGGCGACTAGACGGGTGTCCGCAAATAGGGGACACCAAAAAGTAGCCTTATGCTTTCCAGGACACTGTTCGGCTAGAAACCTCATATTCTATGTCAACGTGACGTTGAACTCTACTGGGTGAGGTTTGGGAAATATGGTCCGGAACGGTTGGCCATATTTTTCACTTCCTGAGTGGGTTGGTCCGAGGAAGTCCAGACTTGCTGTTTTGAAGTCCACAAACTGGGGAAGTGGGTGCCAATTTGGGGCCCCAGCTTCTATGCTCGTCTTGGAAGGTGCCGAACTCTTGGGTCACTTCCACGTGCACCCTCAGCAATGAGTCATCAGCACCGGGAGCGCAAGCACCCGATCCGAGCCGAGGCGACTCCAACCATGTTTAAGGTTTGCACAGTCCGCACTGCAACTGTTGCTGAATTGGCAAACAGGGGGTTTGGGGCAAAGAAACTGTCTGTTCCAGCTGAACACAAACCTGCTAGCTGCCCCCCAACATAGCACAAACCTAAGTGGAAGCAATACACGAAACCACGAAACAATCTACAGCGGACAAAAATACAAGCAATTTGTTGCAGGACCAATGATTGCCTATCATTATAAATCAACCACATCATACATGTGTGGGTCACATTGATATTTTGGGGATGCTTGAAAAGGACAACGAAGCACTCCCAATATATAGAACGCCACAGGTGCGGTGGACAATTTTGCTGGAAGGGCTTCACTCAGATTCAAATCTCAGAGGGTCTTCCTCAAGTCGGGGCTGGCCCATCATTGCAAATGCGGGCTGTAAGACGTACGTCTGGACATGGACCGCATGATGATCACGGCCATGATATGCTCATTCGCGACACCTTCATAGTTACCTTTGGATCTTTACCTTTTACACAGCCCTGTTCATGAATTGAATATTATGGTGTCAAAAACAAACAGCATCTGTTTCCCCGCCAAAACGTCCGTTTTCGGCCAGGCGGCAACCTACGTTCAGCACTTAAACTATTGGAGGCGGCATATCCACCAAATTCAACAGATCAGGAGATGAAAAACGATCCCCGTATTGGTGCTGCCATGACTTCCTGGGACCCCATATGGCCGTTTTTTTTAGGTCATACGCCTTTGACCGAAAAAAATGGCCATACGGATTTTTACGGATTTTTTTCAACAACATGTCGAAAAAATATGGGTTTCATACGGGTGATTTACGCAAATGACCGAAAAATCATGGCCATACGGGCAAATACGGGCAAATACGGGAGTTTGACCGAAAAAAAACAGCCATACTGGGTGCCAGGTTGTCAAAAACACGAAAGGTGCGTGTGAAGTAAAATGGTTCGCCAGCCCAACGAGGCATCCATATGTTTGTCTCCATAGTCAGAGAACCTGACCTGCTGTTGCTAGAGGGGTCTACCCAAAAACCATGTGAAACAACAAGCACAAAGTTTTACGTGTAGCATCTTGCTTCCGGGATCGTTAAGCAACATTCAACGGTATTGTAGCTCAAGTGTCCGGGGTTGCTCTGGCAAGCCACCCCCAGTCGAAGTGGTGCGCGTAGTGCCCCTTCTCCTCAGAGAGGTACTGCGCAACCTGCTCCGGGCGTCAAATCGAACGCTCCATGAATCCAAGCAAAAGGACACCTCACGCGTTGAGGGGTCCCCCTAATTTTAGAGAACAACCATCAGTCTTGATGAATTCCCCCCCCGCCAAAAACCAACTCTTAGAATAAGAAAGGGACGCCAAGAACGCTATCCGAAAGAGCTTCATGCAATCTTTTCACCTGCGCGTTCCACATATCGCCCAGCTGGCACAGCTCCATGCGGTGATAATGGTTCACTTGGGTCTGCAAGATTTGACATCATCCTCACACAGTGCGATCTTCTCCTCCAAACTCTTCTTCACGATCTTCTTGCCATACTCACTGAAGTCTTGCGCTTGCTTCAAGACTGTTTCCAGGGTCCAAATCCCTATTTTGGAGCACTCAATGAATTCAACATCCTTGGTCCCAAATAGGCAACGGGGGGCAGCTGTCTGAGGCCATGAAAAGACCTAACTATCATGCTCTTACGAAACTCGGGGTAGCTGCTTACCCTCCTTGGACCCTTCCAACCACCAGCTAGCTAATTGGTCCCCAAGCGTCAGAAACCGGGCTCCGTTCCAGGTTCAGGGAGCGACGGCACCCCCTACAAGAATAGAGCAGCACACAAAAACCCAGGGATGGTTGGTTCTCCAGGGACCAAGGAGCCGTCATCAACCAGCGTGCAAAAATATTGCCATGATCAACAGAAGGCTATTTGTGGGCTGTGCAACTGGTGCTACAAAATTGGTAGGGCCTGCAATACCCTCAGCGCGAATTCTAGGTCTCAGGTTCGGGGATTAGTGGAACGCCGCAAACGGTTTGGGTTTCGCCGCCTCGCCCGATTGCCAGTGAACGGGGGCAGAAGCCTAATTGAATAATGTAATTAACCTCTTATTGAAGGCCTTCGCACAACCACGCAAAGAATCCAATAAATTTTGGGCACACCTTATTGTCTAGCTGGGACGTCACTGTGAACTTGCCCTCTACCACCCAGGGCAAATTGCGGCCTCTATCCTTTAATTGTCCATGATCTTGCAGCGCAAGAATAGGTTCGGCCCGCGGAGTGGCGCCGTGCCTGGAATTCTTCTGCAGACTTCAAGGACAAACCGGTGAACTCCTCGATACGCTTCGAGATCTTCTGCAAAATGCCGTCGGTCTCCTCCTTTCTGCTGGTGCGGCTTGGCTCTGTTTGCGAATGGCTTTCATTGAGAACCCCTCAAACGTTCACATTACTGAACCCAGGTCAAATAGGTTGGGCTTGGATGCTCATCCTGAAGTGAGCTTTAACCGTCGCTGTACGTGGGACAGCACGGGTTGGTAGACCTTATGCAATCTTGACATGTGATTAGATTGTCAACAGACCGCAAGGAAATCCCTTTTGATGCTTACGAACAGCTTGACATACCTTCAAGAGGAAGCTTATGCTTTCTAGCTGCACATACACCTTTCCGTCCAAACATGGGTGGCCCGCCTTTGGTTTCCAAAATAAGAGGTAGCCTCAAGAACAATGGATCAATGGAGGGGTCACTAACAAATCCCTTCAAATGCTTCAATTTACTGGTGGGTTCCAACAAAACTGCAACTCTTGGAGGCAACAAAGGGAACTGGAGCACCGCCATGGGTTGTACACCTCTCCTGCGGCCCCAGCCAGGCGGTTCGGCTGTTGCGGTACTTGGCTTTCACCAACTCGCCCTCCTCAATGACCACAGCCTCCTCTCGCTCGTCACTGGGTTGGTTGCTCTTCCGGACCTTCTGAGCAAAAGGTCTAAGCTTTTGTAGGAACCTGATGGAAAGGCCAAACTTGTGTCCAAAAAGTCCAAGGGGCGATTTGGTCACACCAAAGACCAGTGATATCTCCAACAGCAGAGCCATGGGCCTATCCATCCCAAAGCTTTGAGCCGGGATCGCAGTTTGGACCCGGGTACATTCCATCCTCCGCCTTACACAATCTATATATCATCTTTCACCGAAGCGTACCAAAGTATTGAACTCTGGCTCAGAAGTGAGTTCAGAGTTAGGACAAATCCATTATCCAAGCGGTAGACCCGTATGCAGGCAGGGACTCAGGCTCGCCACCCTCCCGGTTGAGATTGCTGATGATTCATGTTGCGGACAGCGTGAACGTAAGACACATGGTTGTGCAAATACTGACCTGCTGCGTTGACTGGCAACACGAAACTGTTATTATAGGCCGTGATGCAACAATCTACCAGAAGACAGTATTTAATTTGCGAACTTACCAGCTAAGAATGATACCCCGTTTCTGGAACGATACTGGTCAACCAAAACAGGCATTGCCATGTTATGTTGCCACCCCACCCCACCCCACCCCGGAAGGACGAGGTCCGTTGTGCATCCGGCTCTTCTTTTCTGGGATTATGTTTTCAAACTAACCCCCCATCCGCCTTAGTAACGTGCAGAAAACACAGCATAGCCACAGGGTATATGCAACAAGGTTGTAAGACAATCGTATCACCATCGCAGTACACAGCACGGTTTACGTTTTCTGCTTCAAAAATAACTGAAGTACCAGTGCTGTCTAGAAGCCGGGCAGCTGGCACATGTAATCGCACCATGCACAATGTCTTGCATCTTGCTCGCAACAACCAACACCCAAGTAAGTGTCAAGAATGCAATGGAAAGGAGGCAAATGAGGCAGGAAGCGTACTGGGCTATGATTCAAACAACATGAACATAGACTGCAACAGCCCTTTCCGTGAGTGATCAGTTTAACACATGTGTACAGTAACATGTGCAGCTTTGCCCCATCCTGCAGCGCTTAGATGTCATCATTTTAGTTGATGGATCCAGAAAGAGCAGGCAAAGGGATGTCTTGCATTTACGTAAAATTAGTTGATAGCCCAGCTTCCTTCACCAAATGTCATGAACTCTTAACCCATACTCCTGAAACAAAGATCATTCAAAAGAGAATGACGCCCGCGCCCCAAACATGAGCAACATGGAAAATCCATTGAAACATGTGGAATCCCGGGACTCCGCAACATGCCCAACGAAAGAACGTTGGTGAAAAGAATGTCGGCCTCAATACGCGTGGACGGGGACCGATTTGATTGAAACGTGCGCTTGAAACTCTTGCGCGGCACGGTCAAGGCCTCGACTCTGGAATTGAAGTGAACCTGATCATGCCCAAAGATATCATTTCATCACCCAAACCAAGGATCATGCTTTCTGGGTGTTGAATAAGGGGTCTATAAAAAGTTAAAGATTATCCCTCCCCTCTTGGCTTCCTTTTGAAGTTCGTTTGGGCAAATCTTTTGCACCCAGTTTTGATTTTCTGATTTTCTGCCAACCGCCTGGTACGTTTGCCATCTCTCCTGCAGCAAGGGCCTGGCCATGTCGATGAGGTGCTGCGCCTCCTCTGGCGACAGAAAGCCTGGTGCGCAGGGGATTCAGGGCTCCAAACGGTTGGACGATGCCCCAACTCATCGCCTTCTTTTTGGATAGCTACTTGGGGCATAAGCTATTTTGCATCGTGGTTGAGCCAAATGGAGAAAATATTGAGCCGAAAACGGTGGTTAAGCCTTGGTCTCCTATTTGGCATTGGAAATAAGAGATGCGCGAATCATGAGCTATTTTGCACGGTTGAGGATAGTTTAAGGGAAATCTGGGTATATGTGTGAAAATGGGGGGGGACCCTAAAAACGTGTTGCTAGTGGTTCCCTTTAAAAGAACCTGAAAAGGGTACCCTCGAACACACGCACACACACACACACGTGGTGTTTACGTAACACTACGTATCTCGTTGGCATTCTTCCAAGGCTGTTCCAAAGTTCTCTGTCCTTCCGCACCCAAGAAATATTGAACACCTGACCTGGTATTAAAATGGTCTAGCCAAAACCGTGAAAAGAGAATCAAAGTGGCCCGCCACTATATTGGTTCTTTACTAGCTTTCATCTACGTGAGTTTAACTTGTGACCACCTACACCTACACTTCACGTTGCTTTGCCCGCTGGCAACAAACATGTTGTCTGCCATGTGCATTCAAATGTGGAAGGCATACGTATCTGCATGCATTTGCCACTCGACAATCCTCAAGGAAAGCCCAACTCCGGCTTTGATCTCAAGCACCCTCCCCCTGAGCACAGCTGCAGCGGCTCGCAAGCTTCATCATTGCAGCTCAAGGCAAAAGGGTAAAATTAGGCGCAAACATGATGGCTCTCTTGGTGGTGTCCCTTGAATCTTAAAACCAACCCCAAAAAGGCTCCCTCGAATCACCAATCTTTGAAAAAGAGTAGCGCTATCTCAGGACACCGAGATAGCAAGTTGCAAGGAGGAACAGGGGCTTGGAGCTGCAAGCCCTATAGCCTATCAGGTTTGTTTGCGCATAGCTGGGGGTGCTGAACAACCCGACAGCGTGTATTCTTGGTTGGTTGCAGTTGCTCTTGGGAAATACATAAGCAAATATATCATATATATATACACTTTTTTTTCACACCCCCTATTTATTTGCTGCCCGGCTAGTGCATTATTAGCCCAAAAAACACGCGTTCCCTCCACTTGACCCTTGTGAGGGTTGGCGGCGCAAACGCACCACCTGGCGATCCAAGAAAGTCTTTGCAGCTCCAGCTAAAAGCTTCGTGTGCTGTTCAGGGACAGTCTTGCACGTGAGCAGCAGGGAGGATCCCAATTTGTGGGGAGGCTGGCTAAGCAGGACTTGAGCCTACAACCTCCCGGATTACGCCAGGGCTCTCTGCGTACAAGCTGCTCGCTGAGAGCCCAGCTCGTGACCAGGCAAAAAACAACGGTGTTTCGCCGGCAAATTACGCCGTTTTTGCCATGCTTATTGATACCAGAGTGTGCAAACACTGAAAACTGTCGGCAGGCAAAAATAATAGCCGTTGGGTCAAGAAACATAGTTCGACAAAACAGCAATCATTTTGCACATGTTAAAAGAGCCAGGTACGAAGTTGTTTGCGTTCCAGAGCCGTCGTGGAGGTTGGACCAGGTTGTGTGTTGATGTCAGCCTTGCTGCGGGGGAGATGCCTTTTTCGTGGGTTGACAATGCTAGAAAGGAGATTCAAGGTCCAACATTAAGGGGCCCGGCGTGTAGGTTTTGGTTGCCCACAGCCCTCCCGGTCCACAGCCCTCCAAGCCTGGGATGCGCGAGATTCGGGGCCCCGGGAGGTCTGACAAGAGCTCGGCCTCGCGTAGCTCGCCGGGAAAGCGTCCCCAACGCTCGGGAGAACGCGCGTGAACGCAAACGCGTAGGGGCGGCAAAAAAGAGAGGTCTCAGATTGGTACTGAAGGGCTTCCCAAAACGTATCAAGCACAAAATCTGCGGAAGTGAGGCTTGTCTGGGTCGTTCCACAGTCCGCCCGCAACGATTCGGAATTCGCGGTCCTTGTCTTCCGTTGCGAGCACCTGAGGCTCCTGCGGTGGGCGGTGTTCCCGTATTTGTTTGTCAGAAAACAGCCCGAAAACATGGGGAAGCGCATTTAAAATAACCAATATCTTGCCAGCACCCTCCGACTACTGCCCAAACGGCAGTAGATAGAAATTTCCCAAAACCGACTGTAGTTAGAACAACTACTGTCAATTACTGCATTTTATTTGCGGAATGCCCATAGTCTAACTACTGCTAGCTACTGTTTACAACGGGGAGATGCCATAGCAGGGGTGGTAGCAATCAAGGGGTGGCAGCAAGTGCAGCAAGCGCCTCACAGCGTGTCACCCCGTGCCACCCGCGTGTCATCTGCGTGTCACCCCGCGTCGCCCCCGTGTCGCCCCGTGTCACCTCGTGTCGCCCCCATGTCGCCCCCCCCCCCCCCCAGAACGACACTAGATCGCTGCAAACTACTGTCGTTTGAGCGTGTCACCCCGCGCCGGCCCCGTGTCGCCCCGTGTCGCTCCCGTGTCACCCCGTGTCGCCTGCGTGTCACCCCGTGTCACCCCGTGGTCTTGTTTTTCACTGTTTGGGGCAACATGAAACGCCCGTAGAGATCTACAGATCTACGGTTGCTTATTTTATTTTCGGAACTACTGCTAAATACCCGGTAGTTCCGAAAATAAAATTTAGACGGTAGTCGGAGGGTGCTGGTAGGAAGCAGCTGTAATCATCCTCTAGAAAGTACCGCCCCTGATTGATACAATAAGCCTCCAAATAAATCTCAACGGGGCTCCTGATTCTCTGGCAAATACAAAGGCCTAAAAAGAAGCTCGTGCAAAAGCGTACCGTGCTCGAATGGATATCTCACTGGACATTGCCAACACAGGGCCACGATGGCGAGCTGTGCATCGGCGAGGTCCGAGGTGGTTGCTAGAAGGTCGGAGTGCTTACCTCTGGCAGCTTCATTGAGCAACCACAACAACAGAAACCTAGTTTCCAAATTTGGTTCTTGACAGCGGGTCCACAAAATCCATACCTGTTTGGGACCCTTGAAGGGGACAAGACACAGTACCAACTATCTAACCAGGGGAGGGGGGGGAAGTCTCTTATCGGTTGCCTAATTGAAACTTAAAAGCAATGAATAAACAATTCCAGCTATTTAGCCAGGTCTCGCCAACATGGGCCTATGTCGCCCGTGCACGTCACCCGCATCGCACCCATTGATTTGAAGCTCACGCTTCAAACGCCAAGGCTTGCCTTTGGATTTCGCTTGGGGAGGGAAGCATCAACTACATCCGCCAGAAAGTGTTGGCACTTCTAGGGCAAACCAAATTGCCTGCCTCTGCCGAACACTTGACGGTCCTGCACAGTCTCCGCGCACGTTGACTTAAAGGCTGCATTGTCTGCGCGCCAGTCCTGCAGAAGGAACCCAACTGGGTTGCTAAAAAGCCCCGGAACAAGCAAAAGGTCGTTAGACCTTCTGTCGGATTAACGGAAACTAATACAACAACCAGCCAAGAGGACAGGATTCCTCTACAAAAGAGTGTGTTTCTTGGGTAATTTCAACTCTTCTCACTACACTTCACGCAGGTAGCCTGTATCCCTCCTGTAACGCCTCATTTGAAACTGGCGGAAGCAACAGCAACTCCCTGTATGTCCGCTGCAACTGTCCATGAAGATTGACATGCTAAGCACCTTAGCTTAGCGCTACCTTCAGATTCCCTCGACTTAAAAGGGAACAGTATGTGTTCCTAGGGCGCGACGTGTAGCGGTCACGAGCAAAACGACCTGATTGAGTCATAATCACTGAAACATGCCGCGATCAATCCTTGAAAAGGTCGGAAGTATTAGCCTTTTGGGCCGATGAGCTTCCACGTGGCACTCATTGGCATCCCTGCCTTCAAGAGCTTCTTTTGGAGGAGGGGGGCCTGTTTTTTCGACCCCCCAACATTTGTTTATGTGTTTGGACCCCGAGGTAGAGAGTCCAAACAAAGCTGCGGGGTTGAAGACAGGCTCCTCCTGTTGGATTCTCGAGCTCAGCGAAGCTGTGGGACACAAACATTCGCACGCCTGGGAGTCGAAGTAATCCCGCAAAACTCACCGTTCCTTAGGGAATGGATCCAAAACCTGTGTACAATGATTTGGACGCCTCTGAAACTGGAAACATGTCTATTGAACTGGCCCGGAATTAATTTTAAGGAACCTTGAACTTGGGTCAGAGGGCATCCTTAGAAAATACTTGGACCTAGGGGCAACCATTTGACCGCCAAGGCGCTGTGGAATTCACGCCCTTTCTGTATTATCAAGGTACAATTTCCATTATTCTACTACTTTGCAATTTGGATGTTAACAACGTGGGATTCTCAACCCTTATTTGAGCGGCTGACAATATGCCCACCAACAACTCTTTCAGGGGACCAATACCCATCAACCTGCAAAGGCAATAGTCAGCTGCATCCGAAAAACCGACATCCTGGAATCCTGGTAATATTCTGCTAACTTTAGAATCTTTAGAATGATTGCAAACACTGGAAAAAAAGGGATCCCCCAGTACAGGTACGTTATAGTGAGCGTGTTTACTCCTCGAATCGGTGAGCTCGCCCTGCAAAACAGAAGGGCACGTCCGTTGCTCGTTTCCCACTTACTTTTGGCCTCCACTACAGCCTACCCACAAAAACATGAACACAGTCCGGAAACTCCAACATGCTCCAACACTAGCTGTTTCGTAGAGCTCGCCCCATGTCCCTCCCCAATGAACCCCAAGGCACCGCTTGCCACATTTGTCTTTCGTTGCAATTTCCAACCTTTCTTCACGTCTGTGTTTGCTTACTGCAGCATCTGTTCTCCCCCACTTGGTTTACTTCCAAGTTGCAAGGAGGTAGTTCCAGTTTTCGATTTTGACAGAGCCAGTGGCTATTGGTGATAATTGGGGGCCACAGTAGGACCATTGAGGGTCGTAAACTTACCACGGCTCCTTGTGAGTTGGCTCCGAGACAGTACTGCATAAAACATATTGCCTGAAATCAACAAACAAGGGTGTGCCTTTTGGGCAAAAGGTGGGTTGTCCTTTTGGTTTAGAACCAACCCCAAAAGTGCACCCTCAAGAACACACATCCCCCTCTCACTTGCCCCCTTGGGACTGGACACAACCGGTCAACCTTTGTTTGGGAACTTCTGGGGTCAACCTTTGTTTGCTTGTTTCACCCCGGGCTCGTTGCTCCTGCACCGGCATCAAAGGCGGCAGATGTGCCAAGATCGCCTCGGCCTCCTGGAGGCTCTCGCTCTGCGCGCCCCGCAGGTCCTCACGACAGCGGTCGTGGTCAAAACGAGGGATGGCCCCATTTCGGATAAGAGAAAATCAGTGGCCCCTGGCTTTTGTGGTTGGAATTGAGCGAGTCTGCTGGGTTTTTGTGGTTGAACTTTTGTGAGCTCTCTCAAGCTCCTTCCAAATGAACCAGAAACTACTGGACATAGTTGACCGAATGACATGGAACCCCCCCTGTGGCTCCTGCCGTCGTTGCCATGGAATCCACCAATAGGTTGCCTTTTAGAGGAAATTGGTCGTCCAGGTCTTTATCCTTTTCAAAAGGAGTCAAACAAGTCTCAAGTTCATCCTTAACAAATACACGGACCCTTCGGGTTTTTGGCTTGGTACCCCTGTTGGTTCTTTTTGGAAAGCCAAACGAACAATACCTCTTTTGGGGCACCTGCAAAACCCATCTTGGTGGGATGCCCCCGTTTTGCGGGCCTTCCAACGAGGTTCGAGGGAGCCGCACAAAGAGGGCGGATGGAGGTCGCACAACGACCCTTTTGCGTTGCTCAAGCTCAAGGAGGGCATTGACCTGGGGAGTCGAACCGCCAAACTGCACACATTGCAGCGCTTCTTAAATGCTCTCCACCTCAGCATGACCCCCCAAAGTGGCGGTTTCCTTTGGTCTGTTTGAAAAGGCAGTGAACTACATGGCCAATGTATACGCAAGGAGCCAGGAACCCACCTTCTATGCATCACATGGGAATGAAATGCTTGGATGGTCTTGAAGCCTTGTTGGTGTAATTTCAAGTGGAACCCTTCAAACAGAAAGGGCAACTAATTGTCTAAACTATGGCAAATAACCCAGCCGCAAACCGTGGCCGCCGCACGACAGAGACTTCCATGTTCCCCAACTCATGGGTTTGTCTCAAAATTAGGTGCTCACCTGCATTGATTTCCTTTAGTTTCCCTTGGGTACAAAACCAGGGGAGGGTCTCCCAAAAAAAACATCCATGTTGGTGTCCCTCAAACATGGACTGCAAACTGAGTGCTTGACAGATGTCCCAAAGCCCCGCAGTGCAAGCGAGGCTCTTGATCGCAGGTCAGCCAAACGGCCATATGGCAGCGCGTGCCATCCTCAGGGCGAGCGCATGGCCCAGCCCTTTCTAGTTCAACTTTCATCTTGCTGGGTCACTATCTTGCTTTCCATCAAGGGAGTAGTTGAGGAAAATGTGAAGAGGGCTTGTTAATCCATCCGCAAGCCTCCGTTTCCCCTCAAATGCATCGGGCAACACAAAAGGCAGTTCCAGCACTGACTCGTTGGCTCACGTTGTGCTGGTAATTGATTTACGCGTGCAACAGGTACCTCACCTCCAGGTCTTACAGTGTGGTCTCCCTGGTTGCCTACTGTGGTAACTGGAATCACTTGAGGAAAGAGATGGCACATGCCCTCTTGTTACCCCGCGGTGGTTTGGCTCAGGGCGCAGCAGTCACAGGCATGACGCCGTGCAGGTTGCTGCCCCCGGCGGCAATGGCAACCTCGGAGTCGGCCGTGAAACGGCATCGCATCGAGTCAATGGAAAGAGTCGCTCCCAACCCCTTGACTGTAGATTTTCCACACGTTTAGGAAGATGGTGATAGCTCGCTGAATACCGTGTCCCATTTGTTGCCATGCGTGTCAAGCAATCCCGCAAAGCACCTCGAGTTGAGGCCGAGTCTATGGGATTGTCCAAGGCTGTGTCCTGGAGCTGAGGGCTGAGGGTCTGCTTTCCGTTCATTGGGTTACTCTATATCTGCTTGGGCTAGCGAAAGAACGACCGCTTGCTTGGTTCGACGCAGGTTTGCTCAATCGTGAACATCACACCAACAAATATATCCAACCCAAAGTGGCAAACGAAACGCAACTTGGTTGAAAGTAAACGGGCCCAGGGGCCGTTTTGTCCCCTCCACATACAACTAACCACTTTCGCCGTGGCTTCCTTTTACACTTTGCCATGACGGGGGGGGGAAATTCCCCCGGAGTTCAGCTGGAAACGAGGAATCCTCAGGGCTCCTTAAAGGATACCTGCCGAAGGGATTCTGAATTAGCTGGTACAGGTTAAGCTATTCACGGGCAATGTGTAGTGCATGCTTTCAGGGACCCCCTGCTCCAGGAATTGTCATCATGGAGTCCGGGATCGTATCTGTGCAGTCGTTTGAAATCCTTGGCGGGTCCTGTAGCTAAATGATCAGTAACCCCCAAGTATATGGCTTGCGAGGGTGGGATTTAATTTAGGGAAGGCTAACCACTTAGTGGGCCTGTCTTTTCTGAGGCTACCCCTTGTGGGAAATGTTTCTTTCAGGGAAACCAACAGGGAAACCATCAACTTCGGCTTCCATTGGAGTCCACACCTAAGTTGGGCCTTACAATTTCGGCGCGCCCTTCGGCCCCTTGGCCCCTCGGCCCCTGGCCATACGCCCGGGTGCCGGCCGCACGCGTGTCCGTGCGTTTGGCGGCGAGTGCCAGTCGGGGACGTAGAAGAAATCCCCTGGGCCAAGCGGGTTTTGGGTGTCGCGGAAAATGCGGTGATGTTTCTCTCTCCCAGCGGGCTCATTGACACTTTGTGACTGAGACTCTCCTGCTGAAGCCCGAGACAAATGGTGGAGGGTCTCAGATTATTGCGAAACACCTGTCGCCGAGCATTTGTGCAACCTTGCCGATCCGGCCACCGCGTGTGGGAACCTTCGTGCTCCCTGGTCTGACGAGGAAGGCTCCTTGCCAGCACCTTTCCCACCGTCAGTGCCATAGTGGTCAGAGAAGCCAACTGCCCTCCTTGGCATTACAAATTCCGAGTTGCGCGGTGCACTTTGAGATGCTCGGCTCGCACGTTCTCAGTGGCCGACCTGTGATGCCCCTCATGTGGCAAAGACTCTTCCAGGCAGTTCCTGACAGCTTAAGGTGACTCCGCCAAGATTTTCGGCCGCACTTGTCTTAGCCTTCTTGTGCCAGATCTCTGCTTCGTGGCAGCGAAACGGTCGAGCTGACTTCGCGTGTCATGGGCAGTGGACCGAGGCTTCCAAATCTGCCACGACCTTTGGGGCCGATGGCGCGCGGGCCAGCTTCCAAGTTGCTGGCTTTCACGTTCGTCTCTTGTTCACTCCTGAGCTGTGCTCCACGCCAAATCATGGTGCGCGTGTCGACGCTCCAAGGCCACAGAAAGAAAAATAACCTTAAGAAAGCTACCAAACGAACAATGAGAGCTACACCGATATCCCTCTGCAAAAAGATTACGCCTTTCCACTTTTTTTGAGGGTTGCCCATCTTGGGGTTGCTTTAACTGGCCCCGGTAAAATAAACATTACCCCTAGTGAGTTCAGGGAAACAACCTGACCCTACGGGTTCAAGTAGCTACGATGTACTTGACCTGTTGCCGGTACCAAGGGAACCCTCTAGGCCATTTCCCCTTTTGGGCTTGTTCAAGTGGCCCAAGTCTTCTGAGATTTGAGTATCCTGGACTCGGCTATGAGCCAATGGAAACCCACCCACTGGACTGGGACCCTACGCAGCAGGCTAGCGCCTTTGCACGGCCTCTGGAGTCGTATGGATTTGGACACATAGAGTGTGCATCCCTCTAAATTAAGGAATGAAGTCACATACCTGTATGTGGATGTATACAAGAACATATATATATATATATATATATTACACATATTTGTGTATCATGGTAGGAAACAACTAAAGCTGTTAAGAAGGGATGATGCAGGTGAAACCACTGACAAGGCCTTCCCACTCACCAGTGAAGTTAATGGCATGGGGCCCCTCACACGAAGCATAGTTGGGTTACCTGTCAAGGGGAAGGACCATAGCTGTCCTGTTGCCTTGGCGCCCTCGGAGAGATAGAAACTCAACCATAAACAACTTGTAACAAATACGCTTCGCCTGACAGAAAATTCATAGGGATCTCGTGGGATCCCCCAAGCAAGCAGCGCGCACCTGATCTACACGGAATGACCGCTCCGACAATCAGAGCCCTTGTAAGATGTTGTCTCTTTGGTTGTGGTGGCGTGACCCATGGTTTGCACTGCCCAAACCTAAGGGCTTAGCCATAGCCACTGGAACCTACTTGTGGAGGACACTTGTTCGCAGCTCCATGTTCATGTTCAGGCAAATATAAGCAAGGCTTGGAACTGGGCAAAAGTTTCAGGACTCCCTTAAAAAGAGAATCGGACCCCAAGAAAGGGCTGGACCTCCTAAACAGGGTTGCCTCGCGGAATTAGAGCATGGCTTCCACAGCCATATCTGGGAACCTTCTGTTGTCATGAAAGAAGGCGTACCAATGTGGCCGAAAAGAAAAGTTACTTTCCACAAGCCGCGCTCTTAAGGATTCCATACGCTTTCTCAGTTGCTGGCAAGGAGAAGGGGAGCAGCAAGGTCAGCGTAATGTTGACCCAATCAATCTGCCAAACTATCCCGAAATTGCCAAAATACTAAACCTGGGTAGAACCACCTGAACTGGCCAATGGGAATCAGTTTGGGCAGTCAACGGGGATTGATCGGATCCCATTCCCCGCCTCCTTCAAAGTCACCGCCCAGGTACAGGTAGCCCGCGTGGCTCACCATGCCGGCAGCTCCCTGGCAGAGGGTCCATGGGGGCTGCTGGGGCCCAGGTTGGGCCGTCCAAGCGGTTGGGCTGATTTGGTGTCCTTCCTAAAACCGTCCAAATGGAATTGGCGGACTCCCCTCCCTCCACCATATGGTAGGGGACCAAAAACGGTTTTAAGCTTGCAAATGCAGACCGTCCAGAGAAGGGCCTCTGTTGCTTGCACATCTGCACCTTGGATGAACTTGGTATGTTGCGGATTGAGTCATGTCTCCGTTGCTCTGGCTGATCGATTGGTGGACGAAGGAACTCCAAACTAACTTTTTGTATCTGTAAACTGAATGGTCCCAAGGTGACCGTTTGCAAAGGAACTCAAAAGCACAAAATAACAAGTCAATGACGACCCCGCCGTGTTGTACTTAGCTTCCCCATTACCTGATGACATGCGCCGCCTTCTCTTCCGTGTGTATGTGTGTGTCCAAACTTCCACTGCGTTTTGACTGAATATTGACAAGAAGTGATGTATTCAGACTCGCGAACATCCCCACGTGCAACACCACACCATTTGCTCTTGCAAATTCACATGACCGAACACATGGGCACAGCGTGGGTGCTAGGAAACACTGCCGGCAATGTGGATTTGCTGCCTAGGACTTCAACTTGTTGGCAAAGCCCACATGCAGAAGAGACAGCGAACACAGACACACACAGGCTCCTTTTGAAGTGGGCTGTAGTTTAAGGTTCATTCAACAAGACAGAGTCAGAAGGCAAGAAAAGTTGTAACAAGCGGAGTGAAGCCGAGTCGACAACAAGGTCCAAGGTCGGACAAAGGGCTGGCTTTCAAGTGGACATCAATTTTCTGGCTCTCCCAAGCTTGTTCATGCGCAGCAATACGACGGAGCAGCATATGCGCCACAGAAAGGCCATGCCAATTATATTTGTTACCACAGAGGTAGACGTCAACATGCCCCTAAGCCCCACCCGACCCCCCAAGAAAAGCAGAGCCTCTCACGACGGAAGATTCCTGAATTCAGTCTGGAAATGTAAGCCATGTCAGGAAGGCGTAATTAGAACGCTATGTTTGAGGTTTCCTAAGGCCTGTGTATGGTAAAGCAAAAGCATCGGACCGGTACGCGAGGGTGGATGACCGGGTTCTCACTCATTTCTCCCCCCCCCCATGAGCAAAAGGTCGCTAGACCTTTTGTAGGCTTAATGGAAAAACCATTTAAAGCTGTTTCCCGTAAGGACGGTGTGTTTTGCTCACACTCGTTCACCCTCTCGGTGCAATTGCTGGAGCTCATCCCAGCGCCTCCCGAAGCACGCAAGTTTCATTCTCCTCGTGGCTGGGCTCCTGACTGGGAGCCCAAGTGCCGGGACAGCAAACAATTACACTGCGCAAAAGGGGTTCTCCTTTTGCCTCCTGCTCAATCATAGAAATCATATAGCCATGAGGTTGATCCTCATGGTCATCATGATCACCACCACCACCACCACCACCACCACCACCACCACCACCACTACCACCCACCACCACCACCACCACCACCACCACCACCACCACCACCACCACCAACAACAAGACCACCAAGATCACCAAAAGCAGTTTCACAGTTTTTATTGCAAGCATCAGCGACGGTACTGGTTCACTATTGGCCACTATCTGCCTACAATGGTAGAGTCAGCTTTGCGTGCAAAAGAGCTTTGTCCCAACTGTCCTTGCCTGTCACAGATTCCGGGACAAAACCAAAATTCCCCACCTCCAAGGAAAAGGCTCTCCGACCGAAGGAATTCTGCAAATCCTTCTGGGGGGTCGGGGATAATGCAAACTTCCGGATGTTCCCGAAGACCAAACTAATCCGAGGAATCCCTGTAAACATGCATATATATATATACATAACACACATTAAACAGGTGACACTATGGGTCCCAATGGCTCTCTCCTGCTTGCGGGAGAAAACCAGCTAAAAAAAGCCGGATACAGAATGTTCAGCATGCCAGTCACAGCAGCTCTCCGAGTTAAAGTCTGAGTTTGCCTGTTCACAAACCAGGCACCGCTGCTTTCAAGCCGAGCTTTGATGGGTATCTGCGTGTCATGTGTTGAACTGAGCATGGTGTTCTTCCCAGTCCCAATTCGGGCTGCCAGTCAGTCATAATTCGGACCGTAAAGGCTCGATCGCCGTTTCCATCCTGGTACACGCAGTTGTCCGCGTGCACGGGCATGCTGTCCCCAGGTTCTCCGGAAGGTTCGTGGAAGCGGCATGCGAGCTGCGCAAAGTGAAGGGACGATGCGGTCCTGTCAGGCACCATGCGAAAGAATCGCCTTTCGGGTTTGGCAGACACGCCAACTGGCCCAAGTTGAGCTGGCCAAGCCCAAAGGCCTTTCTGTTGCAAACATGATGAAGAAACCCACCTCAGGAAAGCCAATGACAGGTAAGCTAATGTCAGCTTCTGAATGATTAATACGAATCCGCGGTGTCTGCAAAGCAACAATGTAACAAGGCCGAGACTCCAACCCTGACATGATACTGCGTAAAATTGCATGGCTCTGAAAATCACCACGAGCAGGGTTCCATTGGTTCCATAACTGGGGAGGGGTTTTGCAAAGTGGTCCCTGGCTTTACTGATGTCCGGAATTTTATTGAAATGGAACCAAAGGACAATCATGATGTCCCGCCCAAACATCGTCAGAAAAAACTTTGGACTTTGGCAACCAAAAGGTCCTGGGAAACAAATTGGCAGCCCTGACTAGACCAAGCGGTTCAACTCTTCGTTTCAATCCTGAAAATTCTGCAAGCTTCGGCATCTATATAACATGACTAGCAGAAACTCTAAACAACCGCGAAGGACATCTGCAATGATTGGAGTCAATAGTATAGTCAATACTTTGGTCCGGACTATACCATTGATGCTGTGACAACAGCAACAACTTCCCAAACAGGTTCTTGGCGTGTTGACATATACAGGCCTGGGACCCCATATGGCCGTTTTTGTTAGGTCATACGCCTTTGACCGAAAAAGATGGCCATACGGATTTTTACGTTTTTTGTTCAACAACATGTCGAACAAATATGGGTTTCATACGGGTGATTTACGCAAATAACCAAAAAATCATGGCCATACGGGCAAATACAGCCAAATACGGGAGTTTGACCGAAAAAAAGCAGCCATACGGGGTGCCAGGGGGAAAAAATCAGAACAAAAGATGGTGCTCGAAGTGGTGACTTAGCTCACCCTCCAACACTTACCTTATAAATCGCACCCGGTGAGTAATCACACCTGGTAAAGGGATCTACCCAAAGCCATGAATCAACAGGGCTGCCGCTCCTATGTCTGGTTGGGACTGTCCCTTACCAACCTCATCCGCCCAAGTTCTGATTGAGGCTCCATTCGGGTTAGCTCCCAACCAAGGGAAGCGAGAAAACCTTGCCAACAAGCAAGTGCACACCGAAGTTCTCTGGTAACTCACGCCGTCAACCAAGTGGCCACTGCACAAAGCTGAGGCGCCCACAGAAGGAACTGGTCATCGATGATGCGTTCTGAGCGTCGGAGTCAACTCCCCCGTCACCGCAGAGGTGAAACCCCAAAGGTCAAAAAAGAAGACTGTGATTGATTTATAAATAAACTCGTTTGCTTCTGCAGGGGTTCTCAAATTATCCACCTCAACATTGTCCAAATAGTGGCGTCCGTTCACGGTGGAAAAGGTAATGCGTGAATTTGTCAAATTGTCTCTTATTTAGGGAGTTCTGTTGTGTGATGCTCAAAACATCCGCCAATCAACATGGGAAACGGCTTCAACATGGGGGGGCAGATTCGGTCGAAATTGCCTGAATACTTGAACGCCTATCTGTGCAAAGCCCGGATACAAGCTTTGTTGACCCCTTGACAAAGACGTGTGTACCTGCCAAACGACCACAACGGTTGGTTTCATGTTGGTTCCCTTGCAAAACCGTCCTGAGAGGGTCCCATTCATTGTTGCCTAATCCCAGCCAGCTGCTTCTTGGCAGTTGGCAGGAAGACAATATTACGATCTGTTGACAAACAGAGTCAAAGGCCGAAGAGCAGAGCATGGGACATTTAATGACATCTGAAAGGGGAGTAATAGAAGGATGGCCTGGAAAAAGTTTGTTGAATTGATCGACATTGATGTTTGTTCAGCCCCGCCAGAATCGGGAAAAAGGCATTAATATTTCATGCTGTTTCAATGGCAGCCCTTTTGTCCTGCCTCGGAGAGGTGACGTTTGAGCGAGGCCGGGCCACATTTGGAACCAGGGCGATTGAAGCGACACTTGTTAAGATTCATGGAATCAAGGATTAGCATATATCTAACATATATATATATATATATAGTATAGCAATATACATACATATATATATATATATATAATATTCATTTTGTGCCCGGATTTTGGTGAATGAAGTTCATCTTCGGATGGTCATCTGCTGAGTGTGGTAGCCCAATGTCATGGGTCGCATTTTCGAGAGAATCCTTCGCTTTGTGGGGAACCACCCCTCTGTTGATCTGGCACATTGACTACTCCGTGGTCGACAAATCCCTTAAATTGCGGCGCAAAGCAAATTCCCTAAAAGAGTCCCCCCCAACCTCCCCAACATTTGATTCAATGGACCCAGAGGAAGGTCGCCAAAGCCAAGAAACTTTTGCAGACGAGCTACTCATAGCGCGTGTGACCTGCCAAGAAATGGTGCACGGTGGGGAACGAACATGGGATGGGCCTACAACCCGCCTAAACAAACCGAACTGTTAAAGCAATGTTCCTGTGGCGTCCCTTTGAAAGACACGAAGGGGTTGTTTGAACAATTTCGCCCAGCGTTGCTGAACATCTAGTGGCTGATCTTGTGGCTGCTGGTTCTCTTTGGTTTTGCCTTTAACCCACCCTGACAAGGTACCCTCAAATTTTCGAACTACTGGACTACAATCACCGGCGATCACTCTGTTGAGGGCTCCCACAGCGGCCACCCGCCCTTAAGGATCTCAGTGGATTGGGACAGGTTCGCTTCCATGTGAAGGTGTCGCTTGACTCACCAGTTCTTTCCGCGAGGCAAGGTTTTTGGGGCGTTGCGTGCTTCGAGAAGGTCCTAGTGCATTTGCTGCTTCCGCAGGGAAGTTGGGTAACATGGTTTACCGCGCGTGTGTCGGCACCCCTACCTCCTATGAAGCTTCTGAGGAAGCAAAGGAGCTTGCCCCTCTGCATGTCTCACTTGACCAGTGGCCGGAGCTCCTATCCAAACGAAAAACGGGTGCGACTTGGCAACTGGGAGGTATGCATTCTTTGTTGCAGTAGACACCTAAATTGGCTTTCTTGACCTTTCCCGTTTCGACCAGGGCTGACTTTCCTGACAATAAACAAATATGAGGACCCTCCTGTTGCCTTCTTGAAAACAAACATCTGGGAAACCCCTTGAAGTCTCTGCACTTTCAGGGCAGTCCCTAAATATTCTGCCCACCAAAAGGCGTCAACCATTTCTATGCATTTTCTGCTTGCCCGCGATCGATCGCGCACACGCGCGTTCCCGAGCGCCTCGATCAGGCTCCTGGCGAAGGCCAGTGCGGACTCGTTGTTTGGTGTGGCCATGGCCCATTGGGCCGCCTGCACCGGCTGAATTCCGGCCCAGACCTGGCAGCTGGGTTGCTCCAAGCCATGAGCAAAAGATCTTGTAGGTTCAATGGAAAAGCATTTTGACTCCAAAGGACTCAGAAACTAAGGTCAGCCATATCAGGGTTGGGCGATTCGACCCCCTGGTTACATGTTCAACAAATCCAAGTTTGTCTTTGCTACTCAAAATGGTCTTTCCAGAAAGAAGAAAGTGCGGGAACTCAGGGAGTGAGTCAACATGTTTAAACAGCCACCTTCTGATTCCCCTTTCGGAGGTCTGCGTCTTGTGTTCTGCCCAGCGCCCCATGGCAGGGCCGGACGCTTCAGAAAACGAGGCACTGGCCAAGCAGTTGCATGTCAAAACACGCCCAGTTGCACACAAATGTCCCCTGAAGGCCTTAGGGGGGGGGGATTTATTTGCCCCCCTTGAAGCATCATGAAAAAATGGGCCGCTTCCACTTTCGGGATATCCAGATTTCTCACCATGTTCCCAAACGGTAGCAAGTCTGGAAACCAGGGAAGTGAGTTCATGTTGTAAGTTCTCAGTACGCATCCGTCTCTGCCAACCACATGGCAATGAACTTTAATGGGGAACCCCTAACAACGCCAATCCCCAGGTCATAAATGACGTCCACCCAAGGGTCCAACTAAAATTAATACCCATAACGGTGGAAGAAATGCGACACCAGCCAATACTTGTATCTGGACCGTCCCTTTGAGTGCAGGACTTCTGACAATTCGATGCATGCAGGGGGGCTGCAAGGATTCCTGCACGTGCCAAAGCAAACAATAAATGGGTGTGTCGTCAAATGGGAGCCCCTTAAAACGGGCAGTGTCTTCTTGGGTTTCCTTACAACCTCACAAAGGGAAAGCTAAAGCACTGCTAGACACACAAACGTCCAAATACAGCAACGGTATCTTCGGCCCAGTCGATTGCGCCCTTGTAGCCCCATTTTTTGTTGACGCGTCGCTGGATTTTGGAGGGCGGTTTCCCTTTGAAACCAACCAACTGGAAGATGCATCATATGGGTGTGGCTCAAAATTCAGCAGCAGGGGCTACGCAAAATTCAGCAGCAGGGGCTACGCAGGTTTTAGTCTTTGGCTCCATTTACCAAGGTGCCATTTTGGCACATTTTTTCTGAGCCACAGCCATATGAAGAGACATCAAGTGTCCATATGCTTGCGCCATTTTTGGGGGACCCCAAAAATTGTTGCTTACCTCTCGGTTTCCACCAAAACGGGTACCCTCCACAAAATGACAGACCCAATACCCCAACCATACCACACCTCGTTGCGACGAAAAGGCCGGGGGCGTTCGAAGCCGTCCCCCGGCCGCACCGCCTGGAGGTCCGGGCTGAGCACTTGACCCTTGACAAAACGAAGAGCGCATCCTCTGCTTGAATGCTCAACTCTGCTTTTCCTTGACCCTCGTTGGTTGGTTGGTTGGTTGGCCGCCCGGTTGGCTGGCTGGCTGGTTGGTTGGGCATCCGTGTGTGCGCGTTTGCGTAGGTGGGTGGTCGGTTGTTTGCTGGGTCGACAGATTGCTTGTTGTTGAAGGGACCACTCTGAAAAAACAATGTCGCTCACTCCAGGATCCTCTTACGGCAGGCTTGATAAACGAACATGATGATACCAGCGACACTTGGTTTTCGAGTCCTCCGATAAAGAGCTACAACAAGCACGCCCCTCTTTCGTCTGGGGCCGCCTACCCGGCCTGGCGCTCCTGGTGGAAGGGGCGGGGGGGAAGGGCTGGGGTTAAGCTCCCAATGCCTCCTTGTGAAAACGGGAATTTCAATCTTGTGGGACAGGGTTACTTCCAAATCTCCCACCCACCATGGAATTGTAGGGGCCACCATGGTTGTGGAAAACCACAATTTTAGTGAAACCAAAGCAGGCCATCCCCTATGACCACTTCATCGTTTGAAAGGGGGTTCATTTGGTGCAGTAATTCTCAAGAAAAACTATGGGTCACCCTCCAAGAAACGATCATCCTGGTGGTTGGGATCTCTCCGCTTGGGCGCCTGGGGCGCCGTGGCAAGAAGCTGCTGCAGGAGCTGTGGGGGGACCACATCCTGAACGCAAAACCACGAGTTGTGTCTGTCCAACAGAAAAGGGCTCAGCCCGAAAATCCTGACATAGTTTTGACGTTCCTGCCGGCCCGAACCATGCAACCGTGGCTGAACTCAGTGAAGCAGCCCAGCACAAATTGTCAGTTACTTCTACCAAATGTGTTTAACCATAAAAGGAAAAGGACAGTCAGGTCAGGCTGCAATGTGTTGCATGTTGAACTTGCTCAGCTCAGCGAAGTCATGTTTCTGCCGCACAATCTATGGGGCGATTTCCACTGCATGGTCCTTTCTGGGCAAACACTGTTGGTGTGTGTGTGTCTACACGGGAAAGTGTGCTTCCCAAAAGGCCTTCACTTGTCCGTTGCTTGTGGGCAAGGTCAATACGTTGCTGTGTCTGATCTCGTCACCCTCGTGTTTTGGAGTGCACCGTCAGCATGTTTTGCAAATTAATTACTTGAAATCACAAGATGGAAATACAGTAAAGTAAGCCGCAAGTAAGGAACCTTCATCATGAGTGAGCTCGGTTTGCCCCGAGGGTGCAACCAAAGAAGCGCGAACAGCAAAGAAATTTGACCGTATCCAAGTAAGTGACATCCACGAAGTGACATCCATAATATGAGCTCCTCATTTGCCCAACATCAGTGTTGACCCGTATTCAGCCTGGCACTTTGATAGGGGGGTGTTTCCTAAGTGAAGGTTTGCCTTGAAAGCGGGGCACCACCCCTTTGTTCAACCAGTGGGGTGTTGCAATTGCCTGGGTGAATCGTAACCATTTACAGTCGGTCGCAATCGTCAAATTGCGCAAGCATACCCATTGTGTCTTGCGAACTCGAGTCGTCCAACCTCACATTTGCCGGAGGCATTGCGAATGAGGTGCATTGTGACTGGTACTGCCCAGCATTGAAGGAGTGTACCCAGAAATTCAAAACGCGCGGACCCTATAAATCAAATGGGACTGCCCTCCTAAGCTTCTGAGTTGACTTTGGCTGGGTCAGCTTCCTCCAAGGTTAAGCCAACCTCTTAGATGCGACTGATCAAGAAAGGGAGCCCTTTACTTTTGTGGGCTATGATTTTGAGCAGCCCGCCGAAAAGGGGACAAGTGTGGAAGGCACTGAATTGGATTTGTCTCAAAACAGACATTGGAACCCCCGAAGATGGCGCTGGCTTCCTCTTGGCGTCTTCCCCCCGCTCGCCTCCAGTAGCAGCCTGCCCCGCCGGGGCGCATTGACCAGCGATGCCCCGCACCTCTCCCCACAGCGGCGGTCTGCAAAGCGCGGACGCCTCGCTGAAGAGCCACACGACTCTAACGCTGTGTTGTCTGGACGCGCATGGTGAACACTGGGGATCTACGTTGCAACCTGCTTGTTTGGCTTTCTTTCTTTTTCTTTTTTTCTTGGGGGGGGGGGGGGGGGTTGGGTCTGAAAATCGAGACTCATGTCCCTGGCACCGGCTGGACACCCCACAGTGGGCCATGTCTTTTTGTAGGTACCCCTTTGAAGCGGCTTTAAATGGACACCAAAAGAAAACAACAACATTTCGGGGGTCCGTGGATGTTGACATACCCAGTTACACGGGGGGAAACTGTACAGGCACAATTCCTTTTCTGTCACCAAGGCGGGTGATGAACCATAGTGGTGGGAATTATGCCATCCACTTACACCCAACTGTTCTCTTCAGCTGACCGGTCCGAATAGTCAATGGACTAAACATGCTGAAGCAATCTACAGACAAAACAACATATGTGTCAACCCAAGTGGTAAGGATGTTTGGGTAATATTTCATCCATTACATAATTTGCAAGTCAAGTGCACCAACCATTTTCGAGGGTGTTCCCTATTCACAATCAAATCATGATCAGATACCGGTTGTAGACACACTCATTTCAGGGCGTTCAGCTTGTGTTCAGACCGCCACCCTCTAATAAGGAGCACCTCGATGTTGGTTGGTGTCAGGTCGTTTGCTTTTCACCTTAAACATTGTCAGTTGTCCCCCCCAATGACATTGGAATTGGCGAGTAACCCTGACTTCGTAGTGGCACTTTGGTGAGTGTACCCAATGTCACCCCCTTTGCTATATCCTGATGACAGCAACTATTGAACGTTGCTCCTATACAAATACATGGGTAATTTTACACAACTGGGACGCCCTGAGCTGAATGGTTTAAGGGAAAGTAAAACATACCAGTTTTAAAGGTCCCCTATTTCGTGAGAAATCCCATAAAGCGCGTTCACTCAGTTCACTCCCAACATGCTCTGTGGAACCTGGCACCAACCCATTTGTAATGGAACCGCACTTCAATGATTCCATTTTGGGTGCAGCTACAAGCTGCTACAGTGTTACAGGTATTCACTGGAATGACCATTGCAGAAATTTAGTTTCGGGACTTTCGGGTTTGCCATAGCTAAAAGCGGGCCAAACCTCTGAAAAAGGATGGCCAACTTGGCACTGAGGAACAACAAATGCCAAGGGATGTCGGCTAACTCATCCCGTAAACTGTCCCGCGGGTCGAAGAACATCAGTGCAAACAATAGACTCGAAACAACAACTTCCTTCCCTCCACTCCTCCATCTGGATCCATCCCTCAAGATCCTCTACAATCGTGGTTTAAAGAGAAACCACTCCCAAAAGTAATTTTGAGAACCCCTATGAAAGTTCACTTTGAGGAACACATTCCATTCTAGGGGTTTTTGAACGCCATTGCTTAAGATGCCCACGCCAGCCAAACACTCTGGAGATACAGCCACATAAGGCTGCCCAGGCACCATGCGCAGTCGCCCTCTTCGACAATCCTCGCAGGGAGACAATAACAAATTGCTTATTGCAGTTGTTCTGCTTACAGTATTTGCTTGTTTGACCGGAAGTTCCCGAGCATGGGCGGCATTGCAACTTATCATGTGTCTGCAATTTTCAACCGGCCCTGCTGGACAAGTTTCGCGCCTACTGCTTCGGCGGAGAATGCGCGGAAATGCGCAAGAAATCTGCGGAAATCTACAGGACATACGAGTGCCTGGAAACCGATGTGACGTGCTTTTCTGTTCATACGGCTTGGGCCACAAAAATGGCCACACAGTCATTTACGGCTTTTTGTCAACAATTTGTGGCCAAATGCGGCCACCGGCCAGCAAAAAATGACCATACGGGAAAAACGATCCAAATTCGGTTCCGTCCGCAAAGAAATGGCCATACGGCTTTCCAGGTGGAAATATGCGGAACCCCCAAAGCCGCTTTCCAAGCCTGGTTGTATAATTACACTCGAAGAGGTAGGATTGAAAATAAGTGCTTTGTGCAGACACAAGCGACATGCATGAGCATTTGTTCTGCTTGTTTCGGAAACATAGAAACTTTAGGAGTATGCAGGTATGGCCGACCAACGTGTTCCATAGTCTTGACATCCCTTAAAATTTTCAAACAACCTGTTGGCTGAAGTGGGAACGACTTGGCCTGTTCGCCTCAGGAAGTAGCGTTGGAAGCTAGAAGCATGCTCAAAGCAAGAAGCATAAGGTCAATTTCAGCAAGTTCAGTCGTTTGTGTGAGTACTGTGAGTCTCGTTCAAACAAGAGCTGTCTTTCAGCGAAACACTTGCACGTGCAATTGTTAAGGCGTGTACTTTTTCTGTTCTCAAGCAGAAAGGGCACTTGTGGAAAACCTTCTTGTTCATCAGGCAATCGTGTGTCAATTTGAGTTGATGCTGGACGCAGGCGTGCTTTTTAGCTGTTCCCCACGTAACACAGGCGATCAAGCAGGGAAGAAAGCAGCGTAAAACACAAAGCAAACCTCGCAAAAGCACTGACAATTGAGCACAACTGCCGCTGTTTTGAGTCAGGCGATCTGAAAAAGAAAAACCGCGCCCAAACTTTGGAGGACCTAGAGATATGTTTCGATGTGTCAAAAACAAAGAAAGATCGGAGTTCGTTTTGACTCACTAAACCGCAACTCCAAAGGGCTCCAACTACCCCCGATTCGATGTCCTGTCACACTCATCGGAATCGTCCAGCCTGCGCCAACAAAAGCACGGAATGAGCGACTCAGTTGATCTGCACTCGTTTGCACAATTCACCGACAAGAATCAAGGAATCCCTAAGTAAGAGGCATTGATCATGGGTGGTGCCAACATGCTTCAAGCACTGTTGTACAAATGCCCTCGTTGACAATACTCTTAAAATAATAAGATATATATATATATTATATATAGTCTGGTTGTTTAAGCCTATTTTCCCAGAACCCACCCGCTGCAATCCATGAGCTATGACATCACACCGAGCTTTACACGTCTGCACTATTGTTGGTGTCAGTGTGGTTGAAATTGATTGGGTTCACTGGTGAATCAAGCTTCAGCCAAACTCCATCTCAGTTTTGGACCAAACATGGATTTGCACAGAACGAAGACTACAGTCCTCTAAAACGGACCTGTGCAGCATACCTTGTTTGTTGGTGGATGAATGTTCCACCAAACTGAAAAGGACACCCACACCAAATTGTAAGCAGATGGCACGCGGCACACTTCCCTGTATGTGGGTGAAGGAAAGGGGATGTCTAAACCGAACGTCTACTTCTTCACCCAACTGTACGACATTGCCCGCCTCTGAGCCCTGGCAATGAGCGCGAACCCGACCTTGGCTCCGCGCCTTGAGCTTGGTTCCGACACCCGAGCTGACTTTTATCTCTACCAACATGGGCAGAAAGGTCAAGGGGGTATGTGCCAAAAAAGGGAGCCCCATGAAAGACATGTGTCGCATGTGTGTGTATATATATATATATATATTGTGCAGACCTTGCTGTAGCCATCAACACCACGTCGCAAAACCTGGGAATTACTAAAAGCGCCCCTCGGGGATTTTGGTCGCTGCTCACACCTCCAAGGGAGCAAATGTGACGAATAGCAGCCACTGCTTTTGTGTGTCTTTTGGGTTGTGCTGCATTGACTCAACACGTGGATGCAATTCCCCAACATCTTCATTGCCACTCTGCCCAAACACCCTCTGGAGTGGTCCGGAGCGGCGCCAGCTCAACACAGTTGACACAAACACACGAAAGCAAAGCAAGAAGCTCAGCCCGGAAAATCAACAAAGAAACAAACAAGCAAGCAAGCAAACGGACAGACAGACAGGTAACAGACAATCAAACAAACAAACACAAGCAAGCAAGCAAGCAAGCAAGCAAGCAAGCAAGCAAGCAAGCAAGCAAGCAAGCAGGCAAGCAGGCAAGCAGGCAAGCAGGCAAGCAGGCAAGCAGGCAAGCAGGCAAATAGGCAAACAATCAATCAATCAATCAATCAATCAATCAATCAGTCAGTCAGTCAGTCAATCAATCAATCAAACAAACAAACAAACACACAGACAAACAAACAAACACAACAACAAAGTAACTAAGTGACTAACAAAGTAACTAAGTGACTCACAAACTAACTAACAAACTGACTAAAGAAACAGCATGTCACCAAAACACATGCAACGCCGGGTATGAACCACTAGTCAAGCCCCTGGCTCGCCACACCCAGAGCATCAGCCAAGCATTAAACCTCAGCGTGGGGCGAATGGTTCCGATCTGTGCTGAAGGCAATGATATACTGGCACAACGCCTCGTTGGCTATGTTCGACTCAAGGTGCACTTCAGGATGCAAATGGACCCCATATACTCAGCAAACCTGAAATGGGCAATTTGCCCCAAAACGCAAATGGACAGCTCCCCTCCGTCCAAAGCGGACCGCTCGGAGTTAACATGGAGTTGCTAACAGGGGTGCCCGTGGGAAATGGGCATGTGTCAACATGGGGGATCCAACCAATGCTGGTTCTCCTCAAACCACCCAAAACGATAGGGGATCCCTCACACAAATGCACACCAAAAGTCATCAACACATCAGAAAAATAGGCCGCTCCCCTCGGGATCCTGAGCCCAAAGTCGGAAAGCTTGCCTGTCATAGCGCAAACAACTCGAACCTGCAAGACCAGGGCTCGAGCCCTTCGCAAGCCGCACTAGCTATCCAGTTGCAAGCACATTCTGGATGGAATCCATCATTCTACCTCACCCGGATGTCCTTTTTTGAGGGTATTTTTTTTGGGATGGGTTGAAAGGAAAACCAAATCGAACGCCATTATTTAGAGGGTCCCCATTTTCAAGACAAATATCTGGTTCATGGAGTTCAATTTCCCGGTTCCCAAACCGGTACCCAAGGCGTTCTTTTCTCCCCGCCAGGGGTACTGAGCAGCACCCCTCCCCAAAAACATTTAAAAAAAAGAAAAAAGTGTCAATACTAGCGAAACACAACTGAACTTAAAAGGTGCCTGTGACATAAATTCGCACTATGGGCGAGGTCGCATGGGCTCGCAAACCTCATTCTTGAGGCTGCTATTGTCTCTCAGAGTTGATTGAACCAAATTTGCCAGACCTCCCCATGACATGGTTGGCCAGTGCCACTATGCATGATCGTTCCACTCCGAGCCAAGACACTTCCCATGGGCCGCGCGGAGCAGGTAAAAATCCAGTGAAGGTTCAAGACTAACTTTGGTGGGACTCAGTATCAAGGGCATAAACAAAATTATCCTATCTATGATTATGTTGATATGGGCGCTCTGCATAAGTCACCTTTCCCTTGGGCCTCTCAAATTGGAATCTCTTTATGGGAAGACTCAAAAACAAACCAAGCCCCACTTCGGCAGCTTGGAGTCTGGGGCTCGTGTGCTTCATTCGTTTCGTGTCGCCTTTAGCAAGAAAGTTTTAAACACATGCCTCCATGCTTTGGCAATAGGCCACCAAAGTATACATTATTCATTTACACGACTGATTCCAGCAAATGCTTGCCACCCATAAGTTGGAGTATTTCTGCGTGATGCCAAAACATTGGGACGCCTGAAACTGAGTGGTTGCCTGTTCTGGTTTCTTTTGATTTTCCCAAACCATCAAAAACAGTCCCCCACGTTGCGACACGCTTTCCTGTAAACCAGCCGCTTTTGAGGACATGAAGGAGTACCCTACGAAAAAGTCCCCTCTGGGCGGGTGGTTTTGGAGGGTCCCCTTTTCACCTCGCCCAAAGGGAAACCAAAAGGAAAACCAACTTTCGACACTTTTGGGTCCAAGGTTCAGCCCCAACCAATGCAACCAAAGCAACATGGGTATGTCATCTTGTGAGGGCGCCTTTGCGTTGGGTAGAAAAGCGCCTGTTGGGTCCAGCATTTTGAAACATTCCTTTAGATCAATACACTTCTGCGTCCCTCTACTTGTGGTTTGGATGTAGTGGTTTGAAGGTCAGGGAGTAGCGCCCTACAAGAACCAGGTTTTACATTTTGCCGAAGCCCCGCGACACAGTATGTGCTGCCCCATGCTTTGCAGCCACCTCCCCTTAGGGTATTTTGTGTTTCAGGGTTTGAGACTGCAAAATAACCTCTACCCCTACTCACAATACACAGTTGTCAGGGCATATGGTAGAAATTCCAGGACGTACTGCGCCTCTTTCTTGTCAGAGGGTGACATCATACCCTGGAAGACGCTGTTAGAGCCATGGTCAAAATCACTTGTTTCTCCTAAAGAACAGGCATGATTGATTTTGTCTGTTTTTGCTTAATATTGTGTGAGTCCCATGCTCCCATAGACTTGATAGTTTTCGACCGAACCTCAGCGAGCGCCCCAGACCCATTGACTGGTGGTTCAAGTCCTACTAACAAGAATATAGAGGATTACGCACACCTCACTGCAATCCCAAATAAACCAGGCAGTAGAACCACCTGGAGGTGTCGTAAAAACGTGGAACCCTGAGGCTCGTTTCCTTCAGGTTTCCCTTTAACCTCAAAAAGGGTACCAAGCCTCAACAAAAACACAACCTACTGAACTGGCCCTGCGGATTTGTGCCTGGGCTTTCTCGACCAGCACCGCCCGGAACTCACTTGGCATGTCAGCCCGGGCCGCCGTTCTGGCGAGAATCCGGTTGACACCGGGTGACAGTCGAAGGTGTTCCCACCAGCCTTTGACATTCGAGCTAAATGAACCAGATCGAAGTGGCGGCTTTGAATGGGGCTTCCACACTTGGGTCACTTGTTCTATAAGGTGAGAGGTCAGGACTGAGGCGTATTGAAGGTTTTCCAGTTGACATGGGATACAAGTCTTTCACTGCCAATGGACCCTAGTTTCTGGGTTTCCATCGTGTCCCAGATTTTTTGAGAACAGGCCCCTCATTTTAGGGGCCCAGAACAAACGCTAGGACTTCGTCAACTCTTCAACCCACTTTGACCGTTCTGGGAAGCAAAATGACGGCCAACCTTGGCAGTCATTAGGCACCTTTCATCAAAAGACCAGCTCCATTGGCAACCTCAACAATGGAAGAGGTGGCAATTACCCAGGTTCAAAGCCTTTGCCTTCTGTTTGTATAAGACTTCCTATGATGCGTTCTTTCTTCCTGATGAAATCAAGGTGATTGGGTTTCAGATTTAGCTATTCACCCCCCACCCCAAGGGGAAACCTCAGGACCCTTGGCTGCAACGAGCCAGGGCGGCAGGCTGTTGGACATGTGCAGCAACGCGCCTGCGCCAAGTTTTGAGGAAACCGGGGTACCCTTTTTTGCTGGTTGAATTGATTAAACGCATGACTCAGCTCCTTGGCACTTCCTCGAAACAAAGCGCTCTCAGAAACTACTCCTCTCCTTCTTGTAGAAACTCATTACAAAACAAACACTTCACCCCACCAACACAAATTTGTGCTGCTGCGCATCTGCTCACACAAAGATCACGCATCTGGCCTCTGCCAACAGTGTTTTCCTTTTTCGGGAACCATTTTGCACAATGACTATTGACTTTAACAAGCCTCAAGTGACCTTCCCCAACTTTGCACTGGTGGCTTGGCCCCCAACAGAGCAGATTCAAGAATGGCAGCAAAAGCAGTGCCAGTTGCTTGAATGTGCTCGACGTTCCTCGGCTGCTCTTGCACCTGTCAGCTATCTCCGTGGTGTTCTGGATGACCGCCCAGATTCAAGAATGGCTGCAAAAGCAGCGGCTGATGCTTGAATGTGCTTGAAGTTCCGCGGCTGCTGTTGCGTGTTTGCTATCTCCGCCGAGTTCTGAATCTCCCCAGGCCACAACAGCCACAGATTCGGGAATAGCAGCACGCATCGCGATCGCGAGTTCCTTGGATGCGCGTGACATTCCTCAGCTGCTCTTGCCTGTCTGCTACCTCCGTGGTGTTCTGGATGACCGCAGATTACAACAGCCCCAGATTCAAGAATGGCTGCAAAAGCAGCGGCTGATGCTTGAATGTGCCTGAAGTTCCGCGGCTGCTCTTGCGTGTCTGCTATCTCCGCCGAGTTCTGAATGACCCCAGGCCACAACAGCCACAGATTGGGGAATAGCAGCACGGATCGCGAGTTCCTTGGATGTGCGTGACATTCCTCAGCTGCTCTTGCCTGTCTGCTACCTCCGTATTCTGGATAACCCCGGCCGGTCTCCCCAGTGCCGCTGCTGAGACTGCTATGGAGCGTCTCCAGTGAGACTGCCACGGACACACCATCTCCGCTATGAAAGTGAACATCCACCTTCCTGGCGAACGAAGGCGCGCTCCTGGGTGCATTCAATCTGCTGGACAGGAACCTGAAAAAACAATAAAAGTAAATTGGGCGGATCCCTTTTCGAATGACCAAACTATTATATATTTGTATTGCTTCAAACCGTTGCACACACCCATGCAGCAGAAAATCTCGTCATGGGTCTTGAGCCATCTTCCCGGTGAGGACCTTCCAAGCTGTCTTGTCTAAACCGGCACATTGCAATTTAAGTTCCTCATCTGAAGTCCAAGATCGATGTCAGCAGTTTGTTGGCAAGTACAACGGCACCAATCCATGTGCAACCGGACCTGCAAAAAGCCAGATCGTGGCTTTCCTGGTGAGTTATCCAAAACCCAGGGAAGGATCTACAGAAGAGGCAGGCTAAATGCGAACAATCTCAATTTGTGGCTGGCGGTGGTCCCTGTGCTTCGATGGTCGGGGAGTGAGCTGAGTTGTTGGCTTTGCCCCCAGTTGGCAACCAATGAACTCGATCCCATTCAATATTTTCTATGCCCTGGTAACTAGGTTTACTAACCGTTTGAATGCGGACTCCCAGACCATGCAAGTGCTCGGCTTTGGCTGGTAGCTCCAAGGCCGAATGTATTCCTACGGGGCGGTCTATGACATCCACTCGAACGGGTCAGTCCACAGTCTGGTTTGAAGCGTGCTTAAAACAAGGGGTTGCACCCTGATCCACCGCCCCAGCGCCCCACCGCCCCGGCAGCGCCTAGCGGCAAATCATCGATTCTCCGGGAGAAGTTTTCGGCGGCGCGCTCTAAAAGCGCGGTGTCCTGGACGAAATCGTGAGAGAGGGCTCGAAGGGTTGATCCCAGGCCGGCTTCCCGTTGAATACGCCATACCCTCAAAAAAGACGCACACATGTTCATTCCCTTTAAGCACCCTTTAAGTTCAACCGCCAAACAATGGGATATACAAAAGAAGGATCCCTGATCAGAATGGGGAAGGTTCGGCTAGAATGGTTCGGAGGGGAAAGGAATTTTAGAGGATGTCCAAGGAAAAAAGGACGCCCCAACTCCTTGTTTTGGAGGCTTAGTTCGCCTGTAGCTGTTCCTAGAGCTGGCTTCTATGAAGAGTGGGTCGTGCTACCAGTCAAGCCGTCGGAGCCGTTCGGAAGGTTCACAACTATAGTTCGAAGCATGCTTCTTTTTCCTGTCTCGCGCTTCTTTGTTTTGTCTCTCCCTCTCCCTGTCTCTCTCTCTCTCTCTCTCTCACTCCCTCTCTCTCTCTTCTTTGTTTTGTCTCTCCCTCTCCCTGTCTCTCTCTCTCTCTCACTCCCTCTCTCTCTCTCTCTCTCTCTCTCTCTCCCTCTCTTTATCTCGCTCTCTGTGCCACCCCCACGGAAAGTCCGCAGAAGGTTCGCTGCTTTGGGTTGTGAATAAGCAACTTCGTTTAATCCCCCGTCGGGTTTCTTTTTAGAAGGGGCTTGGCTTTTGTTAACGGGACCGATGTTTGAGTTCTCTAGATCGGCTCGCAAACAAGTGGAGTTGGACACACAGACAGTGGATAAGGCTCTCAATGCAAAGCTTGTTGAGCAGTCAGAGGCCCCAAGCCACTCGAAAACCATGCTTGAATTCACAAACCGTGTTCACGGTCATTTGCTCGTGAGTGTGAAGGGTGGGGATTGTTCGAAGCAAAGTAATTACTATTGTTTCAACAACATGTCGAAACAATATGGGTTTCGTACTGACCGGAAAAAACATGGCCATACGGGCAAATACGGGCAAATACAGCAAAATACAGGAGTTTGACCGGAAAAAAGGCATACGGGGGTGCCAGGACGCCCATATTGTGGATGATCCATTTCGCACCACCGTTCAGAAACCATGGAAGAATGATTCCTCCGTAAATACCAACAAACAATGGCTTTACTTGGTTTCAAAAAGGTGCGAACGGATTTCATCCATCCACATTATTGCATGCGCGACACACCGGTCCGGGAGGCCGCCCTTGTTGAGCTGCACTATCGCGCGCGCGAAGTGCGCCAGCTCCAAATGCCTGGACGCTGGAACAAATAGCGCGCGAGCCAAAAGCGCCAAAATAAAGGATGTAAGTCAAAAAACATGTTTTTTTTTTCGTGGAAAACCCGTATTTTCCAAAACTTGCCAAAAACCATGTTTTTCCACTTCACCCTTTGAAATTAAAGGATTTTCGCTTCGAGGGTAATGCCAAGAATAGGGACACCAAAATGACTCGCGTCCACTTTGCTTTCATTCTAAACCACAAAGGGTGCACAAGAGTAGATAGCGCAATCTTCTGTATTCGGGTAAGTAAAGGAGATGGCTAAACCCAAATGGAATATTTGTGCCATCCATTATCACCCAATTGTACGCCCACGATCTTGACTCATTTTGGTTTTTAAGTAGGGCCGAAATGATTGGAGGGGATGCAGGCTTACCTCCAAACCAATTTGAACCATGACTAGCAATAAACATGTGTGAGCCCTCCATGTCAACTGTGCACTGAAACACGCACATTCGGTGACTGACCTCCATTTTCTCTTAGAAATGTGATGAATCACCTGAATTCATTAACTTTACTCTCAACATTCGTTCTGAGTATGCCCCGTCCTGAGTTACTCTTTTTGTCTGCGGCCCTTCAATGTTTGGTACATGAGCAGTTCCCTACCCCTATAGACTCACGTCGTTTTGGCCCGTGCAAGTTTTCCTCAGCGGTCCCGAGCCATGTCCACGCAAAAGGTATCGGCTACACAGCTTATGAGTCCCGCGGAACAGAAAAAGCCGCTAAAAGGTTCTGGGGGCCTACCCAACACCTGACAGTGATTATACAGTCACACCCCAAACCCAAGGGGCTTCCCAATTGACCTGGGAAAAAGTGCCGTTTAGTCCTTAGGTAAGGCGTTGTCGTGGTTTTGGAGTGTATAGATCTGCATTTATTTAAGTTTAAGTTTAAACCTGAAACAAGGTATCCCCAAGTAAAGGGCCTACATCATAGTGAGCTTGTTTTTGCCCCGTGAGCTCGCCATGAAACGGGCCCTTCTCCCCTTCCCCACCTCATGTCGCCCATGCGCGTCTCAGCCCTCGTCTGAAGCCTTGGGCAGGCTTCAAGGGGAGAGCTTCCCTGCCCGCGAGTTTGAAACTGAACCCCCCCTGTCAAATGGAAACTTGTCTTCCAAGGAAGGGGACCTCTACACTTCCAGAGGTCTGCAGGCCATCTACGGGCAACCAAAATGGTGCTCCATGCGGGGAATTGGTCAAGCTATCCCAATCGGTGTCTTGATTTTGCCATGGCGGCGAACAAACACAAGTGTCGTATGGTCGTTGTTGGTGAACTTTGCTTAAGTAGTCAGCGTTTATGTGGGCGTCTTGCCACCCCTGCTCCCCTTACGTGGGCCCCATCCAAGGATTCGCACTCTCCCTCGCAACTTGTTGTATGATGCCCAAACAACATACACTCTGTTTTGCACCCTGTAAATATACAGGTTTGTCCACATACACACAGTGAAACACGGATTATGAGAACAGAATTGAGTTAGCTTAAGGTTGTTACCTGCTTACAGTATGATACCCTAGCAATTTGCTGTCTACAAGTGAGATATACCATACTTGCATCGAAGAACAACAAATTAGTACATGCCACACAAGCAAATGATTGCTTTGAATTCATGATGCAGCTCGGCAGTTTTATCAAAACTCAGTGTCCAAGCTGTAAAGCTCAAGAGCAGAATAAGCAGAGAAACTCACCGCATGCACATGGTCGAGCTCTTCTTGGGGATCCTGTGTTTTTCACCCCCCCAACCCAACCTGTTGCATAACGGGGTTTGGACATATGGGGTCCCTTTCCTGATTGCATCTGCATTTTGGATCTCCTTTGCCGGCATTCAGGACCTTCTTCTGCTTCTTCGCCGCCTCGTCTTCCATGCTGAATGCTCTGGTCAAAGAGCTGCGAGGCAAGTCCGGGGCGTTCGCCGGGTGTCGCGGCAGATCCGTTCCCTCAAGTCGAACGACATGTTGTCCACCTCGGCGATCCAATCGTCCAGGTACGCGTTCTCCTCCAGTCATCTCACCCTCGTCTCCATGCCGCCTCTAGGGGCAGTTTCGTTGTTTGTGGTTTCTTTTCAAGGGCACAACACCCCTTTTGGGGATGTTCTCAAGAGAAACCGAAAGGAACACCTTTTTCCTCTTTTTTTGGGGGGGGGGGGGGCTCCAAATTTTGACACATGCCAATTTAAACAAAAAAGGGCCCCATAGTGGAAGTGAACTCCCTATACCTGAATGGATGCTGACTGGGCCAAAACCACAAAAGTTTAACGTCTTTACTTGTTTGTTGCCTTTAGTTGAGTATTCCAAGAGTTGAAACGTGAAAACATATTGTCCCGAAAAGGTTGTGGACACACTGCATTTACGTGGAACCCCCAAAAAGCGATCCGCTTTTCGAGATTCAAATCTCATTTTGGGTCCCACCTCCCCCCCCCTTTCTCGGTTCCATGTTTGTATCGGGGGAGTATCGCAAACGCCTGCACCTTCTTCTGGCACCGCGATCCCCCGGTTTGGGCCCCCCGCTCCCGGCACAGCGCCAAGCCTTCTGCGCGCACCTGGTGGGACTCGTTTTTTCACGGAACACCGGGGACCACGAAGTGGCAAACTGGCTCAAGTTTCCCTCTGGCTTCAGTGACAAGCTTGGACTGAAACCCCAAATACAAGGATGGAATATTTGTTCCCGTGATACTAAAGTGGTGACTACTTTGTCAACTAGTTTTGAAGTGGATTCCCTTGGCTGCACAAAGAAAGCCATTCACTCCCAGAGCACCGCATTTCTCATAGCCTGTTGGTTTCCCTTTGACCATCCTCCAAACAAGGGCTCAACCCATTCAGCCCTGCCCCCCAAACAATCTGCACAACTAGCAACAACTCACAAAGACTTTTTGGTAGATATGGAAGGGAACCTAAAGGAAATCCATCATGTTAATGGACCCCTACTTTGAGAAACACCCAGGTGAGCTCGTGAACTCGTTTGACCAACCAAACCACGCGCCAAATGTCCGCGCGCCTGCGGCAAATGCTGCAAAGCGAAGGCGGAAGCAAAGCGCAGCACGAGGACCACATCCTGAACACCGCAAACAGTGGCTGATGGATCTGACCATGATGAAGGCCGATTAACTACAGGGTCCTTTTGGTACTTCAAAGGTACGCTCAAAGAGACACCCATATGTCATTAACTTGGAAAGGGATCCTTTTTGATCTTTTTGGATGGTGTATCATGGGTACCAAAGGAAACCATCCATTTTGTATTGAATCGCAGGAGTACCACCACTATCCCAGAAACTGCTATTCTTCAAAAGAGACTAAGCCTGTCCGAAACATGGGCATGCTCATACCCTTCTGCTAACGCTCACTCGCGTCGGGTTGTTCAAAGCAATATGTTTATCCTTGTGCTAGATGGTGGTTTCCCTTGCTGTAGTGCTGTTTACTACGGATTGCGGATTCGGAACAATCCCGAACTTTGAACAACGCTTGGCGGAACACCCCGTGAGTCCGGTATGCAAACACACTTCAGGCTAGCTGTTCCGTACCATTGGTCCACTTCGTGGTACAGTGTCAAGCCCCTTTTGAATGAAAGTCCGCAGAGAACTGGGGCAGACTCTGACACCCCCTGCAAAACATCGACTTGTTGCCGGTCGAAGGAAGAAATCAGAAAGCACAAAAGGACAAAAGGGCAAACAGCTACGGCCAAAGTCTGACAATCAGCAAAGGGTGATCTTGGGTTCCTTCAAATTTCGGGGGGAACCCAGAATCGTCCCCCCCCCTCTTTGGGGTTCCCTCGTGAAGTTCCCCAACATGGGAACTGAGAGGGGCCCTCGTGAGGGTGAGCCTTTTTGAGGTCCCCACCAACGCGCGCCAATGCTGGCGCCGCAAACGCCACCGCAGCTCTCGGATGATGGGCCTTGCTTGGCAGCTTGGAGCGTGGTGCATTTGTTGCCGCGGTTTGGTTTAGGGCCCAAAATCAACGATCTAAATGGTTTTCTCTTGGCCTGGAGGTGAAATTTGTTGAATGCCAATAAAATGTATCCTTCTGCAAACTATGCAATCATTCCAAAACCCATATGGGTGTATGTGTGTGTGTGTGTTTTTTTTTGCGAGGGCACCCTTTTTGGGATGGTTGTTAAGGGCAACCAAACGGAAAACCATCCTAGCTTTTCATTCGAGTTTCTTGTTATTTTCTGTCTTTTTCTTTTTCTTTGGGGGGGGCGTCCATCTTTTGAGGCAAACCCATGGTCCTCCATGTTCAATGAGGATTTGCTTGGTCTCGCAGAAAACTAGACAACACTTTCCATGTGTCTGTGCCCAAAAGAAGGGATCCCTTCAAGTTGAGTATATATGGTGCGGCGTCCCCAACCCCCCCCACCCATGCTCATAGGTTATACAGGCAAAACCCCCCCTTCTCTCGCGTGGTCCTTTGTGGTGCAGTGTTGGTTTAGAATGGGTTTAGGGTTGGAAGGTTCGTTTAGGGTTGGATCGGATTGGGGCTGGTTTGGGGTTGACCCCCCCCTTGTGGTCCTGTGGTTGGGCTGTGGGCTACCATGGGGTGGGTGGGTGGGAACACGGGACACGGTACCATACGTATATATATATATATGGTACCAATATTATATATATATATATATATGTTCACGTCTGCCAATCCAACTCGATCCTGGAGGATCTATAGATATTTGGCCCATATGGCACATATGTATTGCTTTTTGACACATTGCACAATGTACATATGTCTGTATATTATAGTCTTCAGCATGAACACGAAACATACAAAGCACACGCACACAAAGCAACACGGGCGTGTCATGGTTGTGCTCGTTTGCCATGGCACCCAAACGGAGCCCTCCCTCGCGGCACCCATTGGCTCCTCAAATGGGGGGCAGCCTTCTTTCGAATGTTCTAAGGGCCCGATTTGCGGAAACGCCCAACGCGGCCATGAGTCAAAATATGGAACCCCCACCATTCTTGTGGTTTTGCTTCTTCCCTACGGGTATACTCCAAGAAAATACAATCACTTTTAAGTTTGTTGTTAAACGGCCGTGGTCCTCCAGTCAGGCGCCATGTTAGTTGGACCGTTCTCTTGGTGCCAATATCAAAACAAGCGCAGCAACCGTACGTTCCCCGGCGCCAGCGAGCCTCAGAGCACCTACCCAGGGACAGTAGTTGAGACGTCGCAGGGATTGCAGGCACAGAGAGTAGTCCCTGGCAGCGATTCGCAAAGCGCTGAGACAACATCAAACTGCGCTGCTCCAAACCCGTTTGTAAGTTTCATGCATGCAAATAACACAAAGTTGAAAGAATGTCCTGGCCGAGAAACCAAATATTGAATCGCAGATAGGACAACTTCATGGGGCTCGAACTGACGGTAAGATCACGATTGCCGCGCTTGATCTGCACAATCGCTCCTGGAGCTTGAAACTGAAGGGCACGGGTTCAAAGGCATGTTGCTGTTTGACCCCCTGTTATTGAAACACCAGCTCTTCAAGTCGCTTTCCAAATACTCGTAGAAGGGCCCATTGTTGTGTTCAACCAGAACGTGGGCCCGTGTGTGCTTGGGACATCCTGCCCTAGGCAGAATTCACAAAAAGGCCCCTGACAAGGCGCCTGGCGCAATCAGAAACGCCCTGCGGTCCCTGAAGTTCCAGAAGCCTGTCTCCTGGAAATAAGCGGAAATCGGCGAGACATAAGCGGAAATAAGCGGCAAATTGGCGGACGCACACCAGAACAATTTTCCCATTGAGCGTGTTCTTTTCCAATTGATGCGTGAAACGAGCGTTCTCAATTGCTGGGCACGGAAAGAATGCCCAGGGAAGACATAGGGATTAACGTGTAGATCCCGGCTTGGACAAAACTCGATTTTGATCAAAGGATCCCGCGTGTCTGTATGTGTGTGTGTTTGTGTGATTGTTTCCTTGCTTGTGTGCTTGTTTGTTTCCGTTTGCGCGTGTCTGCTCGAGTGCCTGCGTGGGTGAGTGGGTGAGAGTCTGTGTGTGTGTGGGTGTGCGTGTGCGTGCGCGTGTGCGTGTGCGTGTGCTTGTGCGTGTGCGTGTGCGTGTGCGTTGCGTGCGTGCGTGTGCGCGTGACGCGCGTGACGTGCCTGACGTGCGTGACGTGCGTGACGTGCGTGACAAGCGTGGGTGGGAGGGTGTGTGTGTGTGTGTGTGTGTCTGTGGGTGCTTGTGTGTGTGTGTGTGTGCGTGTGCGTGCGTGCGTGCGTGCGTGCGTGCGTGCGTGCGTGCGTGCGTGCGTGCGTGCGTGCGTGCGTGCGCGTGCGTGCGTGCGTGCGTGCGTGCGTGCGTGCGTGCGTGCGTGCGTGCGTGCGTGCGTGCGTGCGTGCGTGCGTGCGTGCGTGCGTGCGTGCGTGCGTGCGTGCGTGCGTGCGTGCGTGCGTGCGTGCGTGCGTGCGTGCGTGCGTGCGTGCGTGCGTGCGTGCGTGCGTGCGTGCGTGCGTGCGTGCGTGCGTGCGTGCGTGCGTGCGTGCGTGCGTGCGTGCGTGCGTGCGTGCGTGCGTGCGTGCGTGCGTGCGTGCGTGCGTGCGTGCGTGCGTGCGTGCGTGCGTGCGTGCGTGCGTGCGTGCGTGTGTGTGTGTGTGTGTGTGTGTGTGTGTGTGTGTGTGTGTGTGTGTGTGTGTGTGTGTGTGTGTGTGTGTGTGTGTGTGTGTGTGTGTGTGTGTGTGTGTGTGTGTGTGTGTGTGTGTGTGTGTGTGTGTGTGTGTGTGTGTGTGTGTGTGTGTGTGTGTGTGTGTGTGTGTGTGTGTGTGTGTGTGTGTGTGTTTGTGTTTGTGTTTGTGTGTGTGTACAATGTGTGTGTGTGTTGCTGTGTTTTTGTGTTTGTGTGTGTGGTGTGTGTGTGTGGTGTGTGTGTGGGTGTGTGGGGTGCGCGGGTGTGTGTGGGTGTGTGTGTGGGTGTGTGTGGGTGTGTGTGGGTGTGTATGGGTGTGTGTGGTTGCGCGTGGGTGCGTTTGGGTGCGTGTGGGTGCGTGTGGGTGCGTGTGGGTGCGTGTGGGTGCGTGTGGGTGCGTGGGTGTGTGTTTGGGTGTGTGTGTGTGGGTGCGCGCGGGTGTGTGTGTGTGTGTGGGTGCGTGTTGGTGGGTGCGTGGGTGCGTGTGGGTGCGTGTGGGTACGTGTGGGTGTGTGTGTGTGGCTGTTTGTGGCTGTGTGTGTGGGTGCGTGTGGGTGCGTGTGGGTGCGTGTGGGTGGGTGTGGGTGTGTGGGTGTGTGGGTGTGTGTGTGTGTGTGTGGGTGTGTGTAGGTGTGTGTGTGTGTGGGGGTGGGTGTGTGTGTGTGTGCGTGTGCGTGCGTGCGTGCGTGCGTGCGTGCGTGCGTGCGTGTGTGTGTGTGTGCGTGTGTGTGTGTGTGTGTGTGTGTGTGTGTGTGTGTGTGTGTGTGTGTGTGTGTGTGTGTCTGTGTGTCTGTGTGTGTCTCTGTGTGTGTCTGTGTGTCTCTGTGTGTGTCTGTGTGTCTCTGTGTGTGTGGTGTCTCTGTGTGTGTGTGTGTGCGTGCGTGCGTGCGTGCGTGTGTGTGTGTGTGGGTGTGCGTGTGTGCGTGTGTGCGTGTGCGTGTGTGCGTGTGTGCGTGTGTGCGTGTGCGTGTGCGTGTGCGTGTGCGTGTGCGTGTGTGCGTGTGCGTGTGCGTGTGCGTGTGCGTGTGCGTGCGCGTGCGCGTGCACGTGCGCGTGGGCGTGTGGGTGTGGGTGTGGGTGTGCGTGTGGGTGTGGGTGTGGGTGTGGTGTGGGTGTGGGTGTGGGTGTGGGTGTGGGTGTGGGTGTGGGTGTGGGTGTGGGGGTGGGGGTGGGTGTGGGTGTGGGTGTGGGTGTGTGTGTGTGTGTGTGTGTGTTCGTGTGTTTGTGTGTTTGTGTGTTTGTGTGTTTGCGTGTTTGCGTGTTTGCGTGTTAAAATTTGCGTGTTTGCGTGTTTGCGTGTTTGAGTTTTTGTGCGTTTGTGCGTTTTTGCGTTTGTGCATTTGTGTGATTGTGTGTTTGTGTGTTTGTGTGTGTTTCTGTGTTTGTGTGCTTGCGTGCTTGTGTGCTTGTGTGTTTGTGTGTTTGTGTGTTTGCGTGTTTGTGTGTTTGTGTGTTTGTTTTTTGTTTGTTTGTTTGTTTGTGTTTGTTTGATTGTTTGTTTCTTTGTTTGTGTTTGTGTGCGTGTGCGTGTGGGTGTGCGTGCGCGTGTGCGCGTGTGCGCGTGTGCGCGTGCGCGCGTGGGTGTGGGTGTGGGTGTGGGTGTGTGTGTGTGAACTAACAAAAAGAAAAACACAGCCCCCAACCTCAAAACCCCCCGTCCAAAAGGAGAAGGACAAACAACCCTTCCCCCTCCCCCCGGGCTCTCAGCCCAATCTGCTTCTCGGCCCGACCTCACGGTGCCGCGGCGCAGCTCCGAGGCGCAGCGCAGAGACTCCGAGAGCCCGCAGAGCAAATGCTCGTCGTGCCACTGCATCTGACGTCCAGACGGCGACAGTCCCAATTGAAGTCATTGAAAAAAACACGAGAAACCAGGGAAACCCAAATGGGTGGGAACAAAAAAAACACCAAAATGGTTTAGTCTCAAAGGGTAGAGTACTGCTCCAAGACCCTGGCACAACCCAAAGCTCACAACTATTCCAACTCGTTTTGGCAGTAGGAGGTTGCACTGAGCACTGGGGTCCAAAAAGGGTTGCACTCATTTTGACAACCCTCTTTGCGCACGATGGTCACGGCTTTCTTGGGAACTCTTGTAGTGGTTACAGGTCAGGCCCCCATTTTGACTCATCAAATTCTCAAACCCTTGCAGGCCGAACCTGCAAAAGGACCAGGAAATAAAGGGTCTTGAGCCATCCAAGTGAATGTAATGACCAAACAGGTGTCCAAACAAATGCCTCCATGACATCTATGTGAAACATCATCACTGGCTTTTCGCATAAATGTCATGTAGGATTGAGCTTGCTTGGGAGTCCTCCCCGACTCAGTGCCTGTGCGCAGCTGTTGAGGATGGCAGAAATGTGGCTGACCTGGCAAAGGCAAACGATTGCCCTGCGAGCTTGACAGAGTGGATTGGTCATAACATAAAGCTGGTCAGCGCATGCAGTTGCATCTATCACACGCAGACACAAAGCAACAGTGAATATCGTTGTACATAGCATCACGAAAAGAGTATATGTTTTGTACGCTTGGGTGCCCCTTTGTCTTCCGTTCCCACTTGTGGTTGACTGGACTGAAACCGCCAGCGCACACCTAGTAAGGAAAACAGATCAACGGTAAAACCAGAATGGAACCTTGAAAACGATTGAACCACTGCCAATAACAAGGGATAAACAATGAGCGTGCTGCAAGTCTTTGGTGCTCGCAAATTTCATTTTCAAGCAGCCAGGTGCCAAACTGCCAACCATGTTCAGAACCTGCTATGATTAGAGGGTCCAAATTGAACTAAACTGGGTTTAAGGGGTACTATCAAACCAAATGATGCCATGACCATAGGATGACCATTAGACATTGTTTGGCAAAGAATGTGCAATCCGGGATGATTCTGAAGTTGGCACTCCATGCCATTTCATGCCACTACAACAGGTAAGTTGGTGGCTTGGATTTGGATTTGAACCCTTGGTTCTGGAAGGTAAATGGGAAGCGATCCAAATCGCCAATTGGAGGGAAGCTGAGTGGACTCACATGCCACTCACTATTCAGCTCCTTGTTTTGTGTGTCAAAGTGCGAGCGGAGCAGCTGAGATGGAAGCAGCTCTATAGGCGGGTTGATCCACTTTGGAAGTGACCCTTGCAAGTGCAGTGCTCCTCATCATGGGACAAGTCGCTGGTTTTGCTCCCGAATCAATGAGCTCGCCACAAAATTGGCGGAATACAAAAGCCTGGCCCAGGATTTAGTTCGTCCCGCTATCTTGACGCAAACAGAGATAGGCCACGGTCAATATTAATCGTGTGCCCCAATAACATTGTTTCTTGGTGAACCATGTCATGTCCCTTACAGCAAATGGTATAGGCATCGACCGTTGCTCAGATAGGAGTGCGCGTGAAATGGGGTCCACCAACCACTGAGGTGGTTCCCAACACAAAGTCCATGGCCTTTCTCTGGGTAACGCAGCTGCCTTGAAGTGCGGCAGCGACACGACAGCCGTGCGGCTGAGGGCCTGCTGTTTTCATGGCGACTCAAACCTTCCCTGCAACCAGTGGCCCTGGTGGACAAAAAATAGGAACCCTGTTGCAATGGTTGAAGTTTCCCTTCTTCGATGTCTGTTTGAACCCAAGACCATCGTTTGTGGAACATAAGAAACCAAAGAAAGAGCCATTTTGCACATTTTGAGGGTGCCACCTTTGCGACAGTTTCGCCAGCACCGAGTGGCAGAAGCCCAAGGCAAAAAGCAAGGTCACACAATTTGGGACCCAAACCGTGCCCTTGACGTTCAACTGCAAACACAACACAGATGTGACAAGAGTAGCAAAGCCTTGAACAACCCACATCCAACTTCCGGGAAGCCATGCTACAGAACTCGAATAGGGGTGGCGTCCCTTTGCTGTTAAAACAAGACCCTGCCCGCTTGCGCAGTGCACAAAAAGCGATTGTCTGGTGGTTCTACCAAAAAATGAGTGTGAAGGTTTATACAGTTCACTGAAACCAAACAATTCGCAATGAAACCAAACAGTCCACTCATTTTATAACAAGAATTGTTTGTTCTACTGTTACAACCCCCATGAAACCAAACAGTAGAGCCGCTGAACGGCCAATGCGAAAAGATGCGCTGCTCACTTGCGCCAGCTGCCTGCCAAGTGCGCACGTCCTTGATGCCCCCGTGCGCTGCCGCCGCAAACTGCCTCGGCCTCGGAAGGGGGCAACGGTCCAACTTCGGACAATTTGCCGAATTGCCCAGTGACTGGACAAACTTCAAGAAGAGCACCCAGCAACTGTGTTTGGGCATCGTTTGAAACTGGTACCTGTCTAAGCAAGAACATTCAAGCTGGGCCGCCTGGGTTCGTGTCAAAAATGCGCAGGGGACCCCCAAAATGATGGTTGTCAAATTGTGTTTCCCTTCGAACCAACGAAAGAAAAAAAAAGAAAAAAAGGTACCCGCGGAAGGAAACTCACGGGCACTGCCGGCCGGAAGTAAAGATTGAATCCGAGGCCAGGGGCACGTCCTCAGGGCTCGCGAGCTTCGAAAAGAGCTGTAAGCTCTCCTGGGAGTGCACCTGGCGAAGCATGCTGCTTGAAAAACATGTTAAGTGCCAGTTGGGTGTCTCTGCTTCTTTTTTGTAAAGTACCCCTTGTTTGTAGTCTTAAACAGAAACCAGAAGGCAAACCACCAATTGGGGGGGGGGGTGGTTGGGGATCCCCTAATTAAGGACACACACACAGTTCTTTGGCCATGAATTTAAATAGGAACTCACCGTAGACCTGGCGGCTAGACATGACTCCCCTCCATAGTAATGTCGGTGTATCCCCAAGCTGCAGAGGGTGATGGCGAGGGTTCGCGGACAACCGTTCAACAGTCTGAATAACTTATCATTAACAAGCTCACCTGAGGGTAAACCGAGTTCACCCATAATGAAGGTGTATTCCTGATGTCCAATTATGTTCAATTTGCTCCGAAAGACCCTGGAAATGCAGTCCCGTCGTACAAGGCCGCGGCAACTGCAATTGAACTGGCGTTGTGGTTTGGCCCTGCAGTCAGCAAGTATTTGAGGGCAGGCTGTTATGTAAACGACAAGTTGCGCGCAGGCTTCCAAAGACTTAGCTGCAAAAGGGAGGACAAAAAGGGCGCGTTTCTCTTGAGATGTTGCCAAGGAAAAACTCTGAAGAAAAGGACACCAATGCCAACAACGAACAGCACAACTTACTGAGATCAGTGAAATAACCAGACAAGACATCAGTGAATCACTTCCCCCCACAGGCTGCAGCTTCCACCCCCGTGCCTCTGGCTTGGGCATGCGCTCAAAGATGCTGGGCGTCTCCCGTAGGGGCTCGGTGCTGCACTGCCTCGGATCGCAGACGGATTGTCAAACATGTGTCAGCGAGCAAACACTCGCTTTGCTTTGTGAGGTTAACCCGGCAGTCAAAAGGAATCACCACCCCCTGTGCATGTTGTTGCTTCAAACCTTGCATGGCATGGCGTCAAGTTAGCGCTAAAGCTCGCGAGTTGGTGGGCCAGCAGCTGAAGAAGTTTGACATTGATAAAACCAATATGGAAGCCCTGGTATTGCTTCTGTGTGCCAAAATGGTATTTTAGGGGTGCCTGGAAATACAACCATGTGGGATGCTTGGTTCCGAGCACGGCAACAGCTTGAACCCACGAAAACACCTGAAGGCGTCCTCTACTAAGTGGCAAAATGGCAAACACTAAGTAACACTCACTCGCCCCATGAACACAGGACATATGCAAGCAAGCAAGCAAGCAAGCAAGCAAGCAAGCAAGCAAGCAAGCAAGCAAGCAATCAATCAATCAATCAAGCAAGCAAGCAAGCAAGCAGGAAAACAGAGTCAATAAACCAACATATCAACAAATGCACAAGCAAGCAAACATATGGCAAACCCACATACACACTGCATACGAGTTACAACCGCACATGCACGCTGACGAACAATCGACACAGAGCCATGCGCGCACAAACGCACAAGCACACCAACACACTGACACCCAGACACACAAACACACAAACAAACAAACATACAAACAAACAAACACAGAAAGAAAGAACAAAAGAACAAAATATAGAAAAAGAAAGAAGGAAAGAAAGAAGGAAAACAAACGAGAAACAACGAAAGAATAAAAGAAGAAAACACAGAAGGACTAATCAACAGAAAAAGGAAACAACCAACGCAACACAACACACGCATGTGAACACAAACCACTAAAACACTACAAACTAAGCCAGCCAGCAACCAACAAAGTGGCAATCAACTTCAGAAATCCAGGGCTGCCTGCATCGCCCGGCATGCCATCTGCACAGACGTGCCAGCATTGGCATGTTGCCATGGCGGTGCCTATTCGCGGGGGTCGCAGAGCTGTAGCCCCAAGACTTGTTGTAACAGTGTCCCTGGGCGAGGAACCTGATGATTGATCGGCAGAGTTGCGGGAATGAGGATGTGGCGCCCACTTCTGTGATCTGGTGGGGAACCTCCGCCTTTGAGTGAAGGGATAGTCATTTAGCATGCCTTCAAGCGGTATTGCCGTGTGGAAAGCTCTTCGCACTGGTCTTGTTTGAAGCTATCAGCCAAGCGCAAGGTCTAAAAGTTCGGGGCAGCACCACTTTGGATGATTGTTCAGGGGAACATGAACCAAATCATCTCCACCTGACTTGTGACACAACTGATTCAACTGATGGTGTCTGCGAAGTGTGGGCCGGGGTTTTGCTGGCCCATGTTTTCTCGGCGCATATCGGCGCAAGCTTGAGCCACGACATGCGTCAGTTCGATTCTCGCTGATTCGAATTCAACCCCAAACTTGCTGTGGCTTGGATTCCTGGTGGCTGCGAGATTTGATCCCCTCCTCTTGCAACCTGATGGGAAAGGTATCCTGAACCTAACCAACGCAAGCCAAGTGCCGAAATTCACCGACTCACACAAAGCGAGCACGGAGAAAAGCACGTGTTGACCCGGTGCTATTTTATTCGATCAGCGGGGCTGCACTGTGGATCTTCAAGTGGCGGACATTCCTTCCTGAACTCCTGCAACCCGTCGGCATGGCGCCCAAAACCCATGGACTATTGGTTCTACCAACATGGCGTTCATGGTTTGCACAAGCTTGGCTAGAGCACTTCATGAGGCCATACAGCAAAATCGCCCACCTCCCCCCAACAAATATGGTAGGGCGCAACGAGCGATTTTGCGTCTCTGCTTCTCCTCACTTACGGGTGCGCGGATGGCTGAGGCGCAACTTGAGACATGGCCTTGGCAGCGAACGATGTTCCGTTGCCGAGCCCAGCCGCTGCGCTTTGTTTGAGGTTCCAGCTCTGTTTGAGATGATCCGAGTTAGCTGACTAACAGTCGTGGGCGTGGCATCCTGACTTTTCATGGCGACATTTTTTTGAAACCAGTGCCTTTGCTTCGGCCTGCGCCTGCTGCTTTCCTCTCCACATAAGAAAAAAGGACTTCCAACACCCAAAATAGTTGCTTTTCCTCTCCGGGCTGCTCAGCCACAAGTGCACCATAGAGAAAATTTGAATTCCAGGGCGCAAAGATTGCTGTTTTGTTTCTTCCAGCTGCTCTCTTGGGCCATCCCTTGCGCTGCCTTGCGGCCCCCCACAGTAAAACATCACAAACATACTGCAAGTAAACAACGGCAAAGTGTTATGCAGTTTCTTCCTTCCTTGTTTGCAATGATTTAAGACATCAATACCAGACTGAGCCCACCGCCCCGGATCAATATGCGACAAGGGGCCCAGCGATGCGTCTAGCACATGTGCTGCTTGTGGACCTGGCCAGAACTCGTCTGTGGACTCAAAAGTGGGTCATGGTCATGGAAGGCATCATGAACACCTGGCGTTGAACGCGACCCAACGCCATGTAAGGAAACAAAAGGGTGGCGCCTCTATGCCTGGGACTTTTCTATACCGGCGTGCGTGATTGAAATCTGTGACAACTTCGCACCAGCCACGATGCTTCAACTTCTGGGGTTCTGATGGTTTCAGGCGGACTAAACGGTCTGAATGGCCGTGCCAGCACAAGAAAGGGACGTCCGCAGAACAAGAACTCCAGGGTGCCTCGATACCACACATGAATCACCAAGACGTTTCCGTACATAGTAAATAGTAATTATAATTTAGCAAACCAGAGTACCCTGGGCAAAAAGAAAATCCCGGATTCTTATCTGGCTGCACTGATGACTGATGAAGGGTCCAATTCTTTTCAGTAATGGAAACGTGAAATCCCGTGCTAGTCCTGGTCAGCCAGTCTGCAATATCCTCGAATCATCGTGCAGTTTGAGAGAATCAGATTCAGCCTGGAATCCACAAAACCCTCCTGTTCACAGGAATCTTTGTTCGGGGGAATGGACACTTCAGGGAACAAGTCTATTTACACATGGCAGCTGACTTGGGCGATCGGGTATTTTAAGTTGATGTTTTAGAGCCATGCCGGAAAGGACAGAACATTCTCCATGGCCGCGGAAAATGGGAGGGGAAGGAGGAAATTCCCATAACCATGCTTAGGCCCTTGTTTTACCGCAAATGGGTACGTGTCGATCAGACATCATTTTTTTTGGCGCATTCGGTGCTGTTGGGCCGAAAGACATCGATGCGTGGACAGTTGGCCGGAGCGAATGTTTGGGAAGACTCATATGAGCAATGGTCAAAATTAAATCTTTCCTTAAGAGGTCATGCCTTGTGTGGCAAATCTCTTGAGTGCTCTTTGAGATCGGGTTGCTCAAAATCGGCCCAGTTCAAGAAACACCCGGGAAGAGACTCTGAATACCTCTGTTTTTTTGGGGTCCCTCAAAGTGCAAAACTTTTAGCAGTTGGCTAAGTTGTTTGTACCCTCCGCCCCCAGTCCAGCCACCTTCTGTAAAACCCCCGCAAGAAGCGGACCCTTGGGCAAACATCATTTCGGGGATAAATGTCCCTTTAAAGCCTTCAAAAGAGTCCATCGCCATCACTGGACCCCAATAAAAACCCCACAATTCCCCTGTCAACCACCGCCCCAAGCGCCCGACCCTCCCGAACCCCGCAGGGCCCCCGGCGCTCGGCAGCAGCTCGCGGTGCCCGGAGCTCAGCGTGGCGAGGGCCTTCGAGGCCAAGGCGCCACAGGCGCCCACCGCGGCGAAGACGAAGAGCGCCTGCCGCGCGTCGCGCCACGCGAGCCGCGCGAGGCGCGCTTGGAGCGCTGGGAGCGCTGGGAGCGCTGGGAGCGCCTTGGGACCTTCGACGTTTGGGCGCCCTTCGCGGGCCTGTGGCTTGGGGTGGGAAATCTTAACCGGAAGCCAAGAACTTGTTTCAGGGGTTTTACTCAGATGTGAGGCCAAGAATTGTTCAGAGCCAAACAAACAGCATATCAGGGAGGGACAAGCGTGGCACACGAGATCACGGGCCCAACGTACGAATCATTGAATTCATGCCAATGCTGACAGAATTCGGAAACACAACAAAACCTCAGGAAGAAACTGTCTCTCAGACACAATCAGATGGTCAAGAACGTGATTAGGACCCAATGTCTCGACCAGTTCCCGCGACATATGTTGTTTGGCGATAATTGCAGGGTCCCCCATGTCCCTCTCAAATGTATCATATAATTAGCGAACCTGGCACCCCGTATGGCTTTCTTTTTTTCTCCGGTCAAACTGCCGTATTTCGCCATATTTGCCCGTATGGCCATGTTTTGTTTGGTCATTTGCGTAAATCACCCGTATGAAACCCATATGTTTTTTGTCCGACGTCCTGTTGGAAAAAGCCGTAAAAATCCGTATGGCATTTTTTTTCTGGTCAAAGGCGTATGACCAAAAAAAACAACACATATGGGGTCCCAGGAAATATCTAGACCGAACCTCACATGCCAAGCGAGGTCCTTCCCGCCGGATGTCTGCGACTCCTCTCCCCCCCGTTGGGCCTGCCGCACGAAGCCGAAGAAGCCGCCTAGAAAGGTTTCGCAAAAATGTGCGGTGCTTGGCGGCAACCAAACATATTGTGTTTGTGGTTTTTTGCCAGGAGACAAAACCGTGGAGCCTCCGTGACCCTTTAAATATGGGGCCATCTAGGTTGAATCATTTGTTATGGGGAACACGCCAAAGGGAAAAGGGTGCCGCTGAGCAGCTGGGAATTTCCGCGGGTGTCCCGTAACATCGCCATATTTGGCCAAACCCCAAACCTAGCTATCCTAGCTGGGGAAGAAAACGTGGCTTCCAACCTTCATAGTTTGCTTCTCTGCCCAGCCTAGGAGTACAGCCTCCATTTAGACAAGAGACCTAGCTGTGTAACCAATTCTCAACCAACGTCGGTCTCCGGCCTCCGGACTTCTTGGTCTCTGACTCTGCCACCAACTCTTCCTGACAGGTCTATGCCACATTTGCTTGGAGTAGTTTTCCTTTGAAACAAGTAGCTGGCGCTGGCGAAGGATTGGAACCAAGCTGAGGAGGCTCTCCTTGCATTGAAAATGGCATCGACTGGCGAATTAGAACCTAGCTGAAGCCAGCACCGTTTGTCGTCAAGGACACCTTCGAGGCACATTCCACTTTGCTCTGTGCCACACATTTCTTCGAGATGTCAGAATAAAGAAATATGTTATATATAAATATATATATATATATATATATTTATTTTGTTAAGACCATTGTTGTTTAAAATTACATTAAAGCATGACATGTCCTCTAAAGCAACTGAAAGGTTCAGAGATGTACGCTCATGGCTGGCCTCTGTAGACTGTTAATATTTTAGCTTGCTTGAGTCCAATGTTCTATTGGCTTGCTGTCTCTTGCTGTTCTCCAACAAATCAAGTTTTTGTGGGGAGACGCACCTTTGGGTGTGCTAGTTTGAGTCTAAAGGCGTGCTCTCGGGACATGGAAAGAACACATGTTCAATAGTTGCAACGGATCAGGGTGACTTGGAATCAAATCTTTGTCACAATCTGGGTCAACTCTGGCAAACACTGCGCAGCTGGCTGTGCAGTGTTCTTAGAGTATCGTATACCTGTCTGCCACCGCCACGACAGGTCATTCCTTGAATGGCCCTAATTAACCCTAGCTAAGTTTGCAAGCCAAGAAAACAACCATTTCGGGTCTTTGACTCCTGGCATGCTGTATTTGTTTGCCAAGTATATACTGAGCAAAATGCGATTTCCCAAATCACAAACTCCAAACCCAAAAGCCGCCCGCACATGTAGATTCGAAAAGGCGGCAATCCAAGCGACTTCGGAGACTAAAAGGCCCCATGCAAACATAACAGCAGTGCTATCAAAGCAAAGGACTTCTGAAATGCGAACGGCCCTTTTGGCGTGTTCTTTGAGCCATCCCGCGTTTGAGACATTTCCACCTGAGCAAGCGCACGTCGAGAACATCCCCAAGCCTTCCCTCCCTTAGTCGCAGCCGCCTTCGATTTGAACCTCTCTGGTCCGGTTTATGCGGCACTGGCTGGACATGTGCCGGTCAGACTGCACATGAACTTTTCGGTCATGTGACAGCTCGCTCACAGCAGCCTCACAGCTCCCTCTTGATCCGGTCTTCCAAGTCCTGGGTCGGTCAACATGCCACCTCTCGAAACATGGCAACAAACATGTCGTTTTGAGCATCAACTCCCTTAGGCCTGCCCACCGCATTTTGGTCTACACACCATCAACCCCTTTAGGTGTTCCTAAGGTTCAATCATGTTCAAACAAAGTCTGGCGGTTTGATTCGCGAGGGCCTTCTAAAGTGCCACTGAACTCGCACTCAGAGGGCGGTTTGGTCCTGACATCTGCCTCCAGCAACCTTCAAAGGCTCATCTTCACATCGGCTCTTATACTAAACAAGGTTGCTTACTTACACAGCCACCGCACAGGGCTGATGATGCAACCTGAGCCCTCAACACCAAAAAGAGTGCACTCAACCTTGGCTCTCGCCGATTTTTGCTGCAAAAGCCTGGGACCCAGTTGTTTTGGGCGCAATGTATATAACTTGTTCAAACCCTACACAACAAGGGAAACCAGTACCATCGGCATAGGGATCTGGGTTTCAACACCCAAACTATATGGTTGATTAAGCAGGGTCACATAGCCCTTACAAGGGAATCCTCTAAATCAACTGGCAACGTGCTTTTCAACATAGTCAACGCGTGTCCTTTAGGCAGCCCTGCCATTCTTCACCCTTGACATGCCCCGAAAGCGAATCCCAGGCCTTCTGCTCCGCCTTCAGCTTCTTGGCCTCCTTGAAATTCTCGGCCGCGCTGGCCTTTTCCTTCCAAGGGGCATGCTTTGCTTCGCTTGATAGCTTCAACTTGGGGTGGTTTCAAAGGGAAACCACAAGAAAACCACAATTTTGATGGGTCCACAATTTTGAGACAGACCCTTGGAGAACATGGATGCCCCTTGCTGTGACACTGTGGATGGACCAAATCCTCCACCAGTTGGTAGGTGGTTTGCCCTTTGGTTTTATGATCCCAACTGGGCCCAAAGTGGTTGATTCCCATCCAACCATAAGGACTTTCTCACGGGGATTCCATTGGCTCACAGAAAGTAAAACGAAAAAACAAGCTGCCAGAATTTCCGGGAACTGCCAAAAAGCGTGGCTCCCCTTTGGTTTCCCTACCCAACCAAGGGTATGTACCGGGCCTCAACACCGCACACACCCATCTGTCCTTCTTGGCCTTGACCGCCTCCAGCTGGGACTTCAGCTCCCTCAGCTTCTCATTCTCCTTCTCCTGGAGTGACAACTGGCTCTAGGGGTCAGTTCCCCGAAAAAATAAGGACCTAAATCATTCGATTGGGCTTGTAGGGCCCTGTAACCACCACGTTTCGGCATGACTTTAGGCGGACCATGTGGATAGTTAGTGAGGCCCTTGTATTGCGTGCCATTGTTCTAGAAAGCACCGGTCTTCCCAAGGCGGTTTTCCAATGTTCTCCTGTTTGACAAACGGTCCACCAGCTTGCAAGCCCTCGTTGAAGGTGGGAAATCCGATTGGGGAAGCCACCAAGCCACAAGGGATAAAGGCCGGCACTGAACATTGAGCTCCAAGGTAATTGCGAGAATAACATCCAAGGTAATGTCTTCTCCCTTGGAATAGTACGCCCCCGCGATAGCAAAAAGCGCTTTCCCCAGGGGAAACGTTCTCGAGATCTTTGTTTGCTGCAGCTCATTCACCTCAACAGAATACATAGACTTGAAACAAAGTCTAAACAGAAGAGCAAAGGCATGTCACCGACTTTGCCCCAGCTCTCCTCTTTTTCCTCCTTCTCCTCCTTCTGCTCTTTGTCTTGCGCGCCAGCGCCGCCGAGGTCCTTGGCGCCCTTCTTAAAGGCCTTCTTCGCCTTCTTGGTCACAGACTTCAGGGCTCTCTCAGCTGCGGAGATCTCCTGGGATTCGAGTCGCGAGCCTTCGGGCTGGATACATGGGGGGGTTGAGTTTAGGAACATGTGCGGGAAATCATTGAAAGTGTTTCCCATGGAAATTAAGAGAACTCACTCTGAATTGCGACTTTGTTGTTTCAACCAAAAGGCTATTGTTTTGGATATTGACGATGATACCCGAAGTACCAAACAATTTCTCTGGTCCCCTCTGCCCTCGTTCTTGGTCATCCAACTTTCCCTAGTCTCCCGCAAACAAAGATCATGTATCTTCGTTGGCGTCTCGCCGCTTACCATCCCTTGGTTCCTGAGCCGTATTGTGGCGCTTGTCACTTGGCAAACTCACCTCTCTCCAGGTCGCAACCCATATCACATTGGCTTCTGCCCTATTTGATCTGGACAAACTACTACAATTCATCATTTTGAACTAAGTAAGGATTCTTTGTTCCAACAAATACATTCGAACAAGATGCTTCGCAAAATAATCTGATCCTCCAAATCAGCTGGTAAATGCCATCTTCAACATTCCCAAATGTATCTTTTAGGCAACCTGCCGAGTAAGGAATCTTCCTCAAGCGGCCCGTTACTGGATGCCTGGTGATACTTAGCGAAGGCCAACGTACCCCTCCTGCCATGGGCCTTGTCCGGAAGGAAAGTAGCCTTCCAAAGAAAACCCCTCACCAAAACATGTTGGTTGGAAGGGCAAATCATGCTTGCCGCTTGACGCTTGGTCCGTTTTGGAAGTTTACGTTTGTCGCCGAAGCTCCAGCAAGGGGTGCCATTCACGCATATGAAGCGGGTTTCAACGGTGCCCTACTTTTGACTCGACATTTGGGTTTGTGTAAGAGTGGGCGACTGCCCAGAACGAGTTGTATTCCCTTTGATTTCCATTGACAGCGCCCAACAAGAGTACTTAGATTATTTGGGAGATAGATCAGTGCTTAGCAACCCCATTGCTTTTGGGGGGCACTTGAGAGACAACTTGGAGGGCTGCCAGGCACTCTTTAGCTAACCACCAGATCATCCAAGCATCCTCAAGAATGCACGCCCCTTTGAACATATGTCGAAATACATGGGCCCAACAAATATTTGATTGTAGGCTTCCTGTTAAACCAAGTTACAGGGGATACCTTCAACAATACATGCAACAAAAAAGGTCCTTGGTGAGGGAGGTGGAGAGATCGAACTCCAGCTTCGTGTTGGCATCCCGCCTTTGCTCCTTGAGGTCCTGCAGCCCAAAAAAAAACACGACCCTTGTTCAACGATTCGGGTAGTCAGCATCCCTCTGGGGGTTCTTCCATCTACCCTCCTGCAAGAGCCTGGGTCAAATCCAAAATCCAAACCACCAATCCAATTCGCGAATTAGCTTAATGTTAACCCGCATTCAACCTCGATGAACCGAGGGTGTCGCCTGGGCGAGAATCCATTACCCTATGCTTCCTCGACTATTTTTTAAATAGGGGTTATTCAACCCCTATTTTTTTGCATTGACAACCCCTATTTTTTGACATTGGCCTTTGGGGTCCATTTTGGGTTGTTACATTGTTTTTATCGAAATTACGCCTGCTATTGCAACCTCTTACGAAGCCTTAGCCAGTAGATTACTATTTATTGATAGGGTCCTCGGCGCCCTTTCGTGTTTGCGCAATGCACCTGCTGAAAGTCTTGCGTAGACGGAGCCTTCATTCTAGCAAATTCTAGAATTGTCCTCTGCAATTTGCGCAGGTGGCACGAACAACAAGCAACTTTGTGTTTGTTTTTCCGCTCCAATTTTCACACAGCTCCAAAAACGACGTGAGCGTAGACAAACCGTAGACAAAGCGTAGAAAAACCGTAGAAACACCATTTTTTGGCGTAGAACCACTATTTTTTGGCGTAGAACCACTATTTTTTGGCGTAGAACGGGCAAATTTGGCAGGGGACCCAGAAGATCAACATTCTCATCCTGGAATGATTGCTGTGATGGGTAAATATTTTGCTGTCCCGGTTTGTTTGGTTTGGCTAAGAAAGTGG